CCCCCGAGCTCTGTGCCTCCCTCTCACCTCCTTGGCTCCACAAACGGCATAAGCCCAGGACTGTCTTACCTTTTCCTTCAAACAATAAACGTGGATCATTTTTCATAAGAAAATATGTATGTTTTCTCTCTTGCTTCCTCTCGTCCTCTCTACGTCTACACTTACGTAAACACCTCACAGTAGCCACAAAGTTAACGGAAGATTACAAGATACCAGCAGCACTCTCTTCCAGTCAGTGGTTAGATTTCAGTCTGTGATGATCCTTGGTATCTTTAAATAAACTGGCAGCCCAAACCTTTCTTTTCTTTTTTCTTTTTAAGATTTTATTTATTTGACAGAGAGAGCACAAGCAGAGGGAGAGAGAGGGAGAAGCAGGTTCCCTGCTGGGCAAAGAGCCTGATGTGGGACTCGATCCCAGGACCCTGGGATCATGACCTGGGCCAAAGGCAGACGCCTAACCAACTGAGCCACCCAGGCATCCCCAGCCCAAACCTTTCTGATGGCCATAATTTTTATGCTGATTTGTAACTAGCTATCTTTTTTTCTTCTTTTTTAAGCTTTTAGCATTTTTAAAAAAAGATTTATTTGAGAGAGAGTGTGCAAGCAGGGGGAGGGGCAAAGCGAGAGGGAGAAGCAGACTCCGCACTGAGCACAGAGTCCGACGTGGAGCTTACTCCCAGGACCCTGAGATCATGACCTGAGCCGAAATCAAGAGTCGGAGGCTTAACTGACTATCCCACCCAGGTGCCTCTTTTTAGCTATCTTTCAAAAATAAATTTTTTTAATATTGGCACATAAGCCTGAAACAAAACATATACTTTTAATAATTTGAACAAAGTAGATTAAATAATCTGCAGCCAGATAATTTTTCTTAAAAAGAAACATTATAATGCCTAAGTATCATCTTGAAAGTATCACCTTAAGTCAGTTTGCCTATGGATATATTTTACTAACATATAATGCCCAACTCTTTACTTTAAAAAATTCTCTCCCCAAATAGGACCTTTCACTATGAGAAGAGAGAGTATCTAGGAACTTTGGTAAAACCTGAAGCTTTTTCAGATCACGAGCATGAAGGAATGACTACACCCATGCTCATAGCTGTGGCCTAGTTTGGTAGCAGGCGGTGCGTGGAGAAACCAGTCGACGCCAAGTGCTCTAAGGAGCAGGTGTTTATTCCAAGTGTCACCTTATTTTATTAGTAATCCCCCACGTGTTTAGGTCTTTAAAAGCCACTGCAGGGTGCCTGGGTGGCTCAGTTGGTTAAGCATTCGACTCTTGGTTTTGGCTCAGGTCATGATCTCAGGGTCCTGGGATCAAGCCCCGTGTTGGGCTCTGTGCTCAGTAGGGAGTCTGCTTGGGATTCCCTCTCCCTCTGGCCCTCCCCCGGCTGACGTGCTTGCACAAACACTCTCTCTAAAATCAATCAATCTTAAAAAAAGAAGCCACTGGGCACCTGGGTGGCTCAGTCGGTTAAGCGTCTGCCTTTGGCTCAGGTCATAATCCCAGGGTCCTGGGATGGAGCCCTGTGTTGGGCTCCCTGCTCCACGGGGAGTCTGCTTCTCCCTCTGCCTCTCTCTCTCTTTCTCCCTCTGTCTCTCATGAATAAATGAATAAAATCTTTAAAAAAAAAAAAAAAAAAAGAAGCCACTGCAGAAAAATTGAAGCTCATGTTGAAGAATGCCTCCAGTTCTCCTCTCCTGAGCCCGCCTGGTGGTCGTGTGCGTGAGGACACCCCGGGGGGGCAGACCCTCCACAGAGGGTGGGGTGGGGTGGGGGCTCGGGGTTGAGCAGTCCAACAACAGTGGATGACACAGAAGCCTTCTCATCGCTACTTTGGATGGTACCATTCCAGCTCATTCACATTTGAGCTCTTGGGCATATTTGAGAGGGACTATCTTCCTTTTTTGTGCACAGGAGACAGCCCACTCCCTCCCTGCTCTGCTCTTCAGAGAGCATCCTGGGAAACCAGATGCCAGTCATCTTGCAGATGTGATGCTCTATCACATGCCCTCCATGGGCCCTGGGAGCCGGGGCGAGACCATACTCCTCAGTGAGCGCAGGAGCCTCCTACGTGTCCCCGCCACCCCATCACCTGCTGCTCCTGGAGGGCCAGCCACAGACATCACACAACACCCGTCTGCACAGCAAGGGGGTGAGGGACACCCGCCTATCGCGGGTCAGAGGTAGGTCCTCTTACATTTCTTGAGGTGCTTGTGGAAGTCTGGTCTAGGCTGTGCCCCTGGGAGCCGAACTCTGGAGACACAAAGCACAGCTGTAAGCTGGCCTTGTAGACTCACAACAATATCAAGGTGCCTCACCAAGACTTTTGAGGAAGCCGCAGAGTCTTCTAGATGCATCAGTCACACTGAGGCGGAATTTGGCAGCAAAGTAAGGCAGAGACTGAGGACACACGGACACGACCAGCACCTTGTGCTGTGAGGTATCACATTTCTGGGAGAAAAAGAGAAGAGCGTCACACGTGTGGTGCATACAGAGTGAAGTAAGACACCATGATGAAAAATCCAGTCACACAGAACGAGTAAGTGCTCTATGAGAACACTGATAAAATATATGTGCACTAGCAAGTATAATTAAGGAAACGGAAAAAAAATTAGGATTAAAAAGTGTGACATCCCAAGAGATTTCGCAATTTTTAAAAACAATACTCTTATCAATAAATGCGAATACCTGAATGAAAGTGGATAATTTTAAAGGAAAAAAAAATTACAATATTGGCCCATAAATAACTGAAATGACCCAATAACAATTTAAAAATACACACACACCAATATGTTTCAATTAGAACAAAATACATACACACTGAAACAGTGTCCAGAGATCTATCCCCAAAGAGGCCTCAGTCCCTGGTCATTCTGGCAAACTGTAGGATATATATATTTGCGTACACGTATACATATATGTATGTATGTGTGTGTGTGTTTTGTTTTTTTAAGAAAGAGAAGAAGAAAGAACGGCGGGGGGGGGGCGGCGCAAAGGCAGAGGGAGAGAGAGAGAAACTTAAGCAGGCTCCACATTCAGCACAGAGCCCAACGCAGGGCTTGATCTCATGACCCCAAGATCATGACCAGAGCCGAAACCAAGAGTCAGACGCTTAACTGACCGAGCCACCCAGGCTCCCCAAATTGTAGGATATTTTTAAGGAGTGGATCATTCTCACCTTCTATAAACTGTTCTAAAAAATACTGTGTGGGATGCCTGGGTGGCTTAGTCGTTAAGCGTCTGCCTTTGGCTCAGGTCATGATCCCAGGGTCCTGGGATCGAGCCCCGCATCGGGCTCCCTGCTCGGTGGGGAGCCTGTTTCTCCCTCTCCCTGCCACTCTCCCTGCTTGTGCTCATTCTCTCTGACAAATAAATAAAATCTTTTTAAAAAAACACCGTACAAACATGAAACCACAAGGCTATCGACATCCTGAAACCAAAATGGATACTGGCGGCTCAAGGAATCCCTGGAAAAATATGAACAATTCATCGCCAACACAATAACCCAGGAGAGCAGCACGGGCGAGGATGCTGGCATTAGAAAGTCTCCCCCGTGACCCTCTAACCTGGAGTCTAGGGCAGATACAGGATTACCATGACAGAGCTGTGTGGGTCAGACGTTGTCAGCCAGTTAGTAAAGTGGAAACCCGAACGGTGGCATTTGGGGGCAAACCTTCCACCACAGGTCTGAGGATTGGTCTGGTCTCACAGCTGGGGCATGCAGGCCCAACTGGATGTGGGAAAGGCGGCGTGATTCCTGCTTCTGAATGCATCCCAACAGAAATGTGGAAGCAGGAATCGGGAGAGAGTGTGAATCGGTGGAAGCAGGAATCGGTGTGAGTCCCAGTTACTAACAGAAGACGCAGGGCAGAGGGTGGTCTGTCCCCAGCTCCAGAAGCCAGACTCAGTGCTTCCAATCCTTTTATCTGATGCCCTGCCAGGGAGGTCTCCAGGCCTCACTCCGTTCTCACTCAAACGTCCCCTCCCCTGAGGGAGCTGCTTTGTGACCAGCAGGGGATCAGACTGAGCCCAGGGCGAAGGGCAGCAGAGCACAGAAAGGGAAATTGCAGTGTGACTGCATGAGCAGCTGACTCAACCAACCCAGAACCTCCCCTATGTCCAGTTTCCTGAAATAACCATTTCCTTATTCTTTATGCCAGTTTCTGTAGCTGAAATGCTGATTGGTATGCATTTCTACCAGAAGTTTCTATAAACATCTACTTAATAGTAAAACTTCCCACTGAAGTTTGAATCAAGATGTTAGTGTGGGGGGAGCTAAAGCCATTCTGTTCAGAGGAGGACAAGCAAGAGCAGGTGGGGACTGCCGCTCGCTCATGGACCTCCCGGGGGACCTGACCACCAGGAAGGGAAGAGACACAATGCTGACAACAGAAAGACATGTATTTCTCTCTGAAACCGTGGCCTAAAAATGCTGATGTGCCAGGAACACGCCACAGGGGTGGTGGCAAACACGCACAACACTGCTTGGCTCTGTCCTCTGTGCTGGGTGCCCATGTGAAGCCCACACTCCTCACGGACTCTGCCTTGCTCGGGCATACCAACTGTTACCGAGACGGCGGGGGGGTCTCCCAGAGGCACCTGCACTGCTGCAGGCAGGGTGGGGTGTGAGAGCGCTTCCTGTGAGCAGCCGTGAGCAAGGGGCAAACGCAGGTGTGCGCTTCAGCCCCTCTGCCTCATCTGCCCTTCCTTTCACCTGTCCAAAGCTGAGGGACACAGCTCTGCAGGACAGCTGAGGGACCACAGCCTTGCCCCAGCCTGACAAGCCCATCAGACCAGAGCCCTGCCTCTGGGAACAGACTAGGGACCTCGAGTCCTACCATGTCGGTGAGGGAACGTGACCCTGGGTGGGGGGCTCTAGAGAGGGTTGACTCCAGCAAGGGACATAGGGCCAGGGCCGAGGCATGTACGCTGTGCCCAGCAGAGGCTTCCATGCCGCACCTCCACCCCCACCCCCCCGCCCCAAGCAGGAGCCCTACCTTATTAAGGTTCAGAACACGGAAGAAGTCCTTGGCATTCTGCTGGGAAACCTGGAGCCCTTCCTCAGCAGTCACACAGCTGTCACATGCCAGGCAGTCACTCAGAAATATCTTGGCATCAGCCAACTTATGGAATTCCCCCTTCTACAAAAGAAAGATGTTTTGGTCTGATTCTTGAATAAAGACTCTAACATGTGCTTCTCTAGGGAGAATGATAGCACGAGACCAACACAGAACATGGACACCTTAGACAACACAAAGCCGGAGGGCCATAGAACACCACAATGACACCAAGGAGTCACACAGATGACAATCCAGGGTGGGAGCAGGACAGCACTGTCACATGGTGGAAGAAATCTACATTCCTGTGTCTCAGGAGCTGGCCCGGCGCCTCTCTTCCCTATGTCCCCTTCTGTGTTGCCCTCGGGGATTCCCACTCTCAGTCTGCTCTGTACTCCCTGGTGACTCATCAAGGCCCATGGCTCCCCAAGGAAGCTGGTAGCCTGGCTTCAGGAGGTCTGAATGGGGCCCAAGAGTTTGCACTTCTAACCAGCTCCCAGGTGGGTCCAGAGCTGCCACTCCGAGGGTCTGGAGCACAGGGCCTGGCACAGAGCTGGGGCCCAGCAGATAATGCCATGCTCCTCAGAGAATCCTGGCCCTCTGTCCCTGCAGAGGTGTCTGTGAGCACACTCCGCGCTGTTCCCAGGACCTCCTCCCTGCCGTGTGCTGGGCACCACACAGTCCTTCTTTCTGCAGGCTCTCCTGGGCCAGGTCTGGTCCCTCCCCACCTGTCCTGTTCCTTCTGCCCCCGTGTGCGTTCTGCAGAAGACTGTCCTGTCCACTGCCTTCTCTCCAATCAGCCTCACTTCCCAAAACAGTGTCAGCTCCCCCAGCCCCCAACACCTCTCCAACCTTCACCTCCAGCGGAGCTCTTTCCTTTCCCAAGCTCCAGACCGCCATCCCACAGAGAGCTCAGTGCCTGTGGAACTCAAATTGCACTCAGCTTCCTGCACTGCATCCTCTTTCCTGCTTTTGCCACTGTGGTGGCCTGCCCAGGCCCCACCACCCCATCTCCCAGGCCCTTTCCCTCATTCTCCCCTGCTCTAGCCACCTTAAACCACCTGCCTCCATCACCCGCCCCCCCATATGATCTGTCCCCTCCTCCAGACCACTGTGTGCACCCCTCCTCTGACCTGCTCACCCTACGGGGGTGCCGCCCACTGTGCTGGCAGGACGCCTGCTGAGGCTGTGCACACACCTTATCTCTGCGTAACCACAGCCCTGGGAGAGAAGGAACCCAACTCCCCAGGTCACTGATAAGGAAACTGGGGCTCCCGGGTTTAGATGTCTGTCCGAGGTGATGTGGCCAGAGGGCAGGTGTGGGAGGCGCCAGGCACTCCCTGCTTCTTCTGCCTTTGAACCCTGGGTGCCTGCCTCATCTGCTGCTTGCCGAGCCCTACAGCTGCCAGAGTGCAGAGCTGGTACGAGAGGGACTAGATCAGTTCCTGTCAGTCCAGACCTTGTGTCGGGGTCACCAGACTAAAGCGAAACCTGCTGCTGTCCACGTTGCCAGCTCTCCACTAGTGAAGTCAGTACCAGTCCTTTCCAAGGGAAGAGTGACCTCCCCTACCCAGTAAACTCAAACCATCACCACTAGCTAAGAGGGATTTAAACCCTCAAGAACAAAGTTAGAGAAGAAACCACTAGAAAAACAAACTTACAGGATCATGAGATTTGAATGACTTTTTAAATTACCTACCTAAACTCCCCTTTTACAGAATGAAACTTTCCATTAAAAAAGTTGGAGATTTAAATATTATACCACTATTTCTAATCAATGACTGAAGATGGTATTTTTCTTTGTTCTTCACACAGTTTGTTTTGGCTGGGTGTATTCTGAGAACACTTGCTCTTGGGCACTTCTGTCCCAAAGGTCATATGCCTAGGAATGACCACCCAGCATGCCCACGGCAAACACCCCCCCCCCCCCCCCGCCCAGGGCACCACTTTAGGATCTTCTGAGAGCAGTGGTGTGCCAGGGACATGAGCCCTCGAAGAGGAGAAAAACAGCCCCAGCCATTTACTCCAGGCTAATGCAAAACTGAGAAATTACTTGCCTCTCCATTCTCCTGAGCCAGACTTGGTATGTCAACTGAAGCATTCTCTTGGTCCTCGGTTTTTGTTTTCTTACTACATTCCTTGAAAAAGCAAAGGAACATAAAAAAGTACTTTTAATCTGACTCTCTCAATTTAAAAAGATGTATGTACACTCTGACCCATTAACCTCATGTGCAGAAATCCTCTCTACAAAAACAAAAGTACCTGGACTTGTGGACACACATGCACACCCTCCTCTATCCGTGTCCTTGCAGTAACTGAAAACTAGCAGCAATGTGGCCTTCCACCAACAGGTAAATCAACACCGACAGCCTGGATACTTGTTATATTTAGAATATGATGAACTAGGATTATGTGTAATGCTTTGAAAATGTATCTCCGTATAATGTTAAATAAAAAAAAGAGGAAGTGATGGAATATTTACATGCTCTAATTTTTGGAAAAAACAAACAAAAAATCCCCATCCCCACAATGAATGGCTCTTTACGTTATCAGCCTAGAAGCAAGTGTGGAAGGCTACCCCGGTCACTATGGTCACCCAGGTGGAGCGGAGGACCGGCCCTGTCCTTCCTACATTCTTGTTTTGTTACCATAATCATGTAAGTTGTATAAAAACTCCTCAAAAACATGGTTTGATCAGTGTTTCAATCATCCACATCAAGAACCGTGCTCGCTATGACTGCCCTGCGTGGTAACAAAAGTTAGTTTTTCTGTTTTGCTTTTTTTTTCCTTTGGCTTCAAACATATTTAGAAAGGACAAACAAGTGCACTGAGAACTGGAAAGACCAAGCATGAGCCCAAATGTAACGTGACTACAAGGCACCTGGAAACGAAACCTGACCCGCAGTAGCGCTGGCATCTGGCAGGTTCAGTGTCCGCAGCTCACCAACCACCTGCAGTCGCCCTCTACCCAGTAAAACCCCAACCAGTTGTCACACAGGAGACCAAGTCTGCGAGATGACGCGGACGCACAGGAGCCCGGAGCGGCTGATCCCGGAGACGGGGGACTGGGGGCCGGGGGACCCGGGACGGCGCCACGGCCCGCACCGCCCGCTCTGGGCACCAGGGCTCCCGGAGGTCGGTGACTGCAGGCAGCTCCGACCCCCGGCTCCGACCTCGACCGGACCTGACCCCCCGACCTCGAACAGCCCCGACCCCGGCCGGACCGACCCCCTGACCCCTAGCAGCACCGACTCTGGCAGGACTGACCCCGAGCAGCCCCGACCCCAGCCGGACCGACCCCCTGACCCCGAGCAGCACCGACCCCAGCCGGACCGACCCCCTGACCCCAAGCAGCCCCGACCCCGGCCGGACCGACCCCCTGACCCCAAGCAGCCCCGACCCCGGCCGGACCGACCCCTTGACCCCAAGCAGCCCCGACCCTGGCAGGACTGACCCCGAGCAGCCCCGACCCCAGCCGGACTGACCCCCTGACCCCGAGCAGCACCGACCCCGGCCGGACCGACCTCCTGACCCCGAGCAGCACCGACCCCAGCCGGACCGACCCCCTGACCCCAAGCAGCCCCGACCCCGGCCGGACCGACCCCCTGACCCCAAGCAGCCCCGACCCCGGCCGGACCGACCCCCTGACCCCAAGCAGCCCCGACCCTGGCAGGACTGACCCCGAGCAGCCCCGACCCCAGCCGGACTGACCCCCTGACCCCGAGCAGCACCGACCCCGGCCGGACTGACCCCTTGACCCCAACTCCCTGACTCCGGCCGGACCGACCCCCATGACCCCGAGCAGCCCCATCGGGGCCGGACCGATTCCCGGCCCCGAGTGCGCGGGGCCCACCTTCCGCGTGCAGTGCTCACACTTCATCTGGAGCGGGGCAGGCGAGGGGCCAGGGTTCGGCCTCAGAGGAGCACCGGGAGACTCGGTCACAGACGCCCGGCGCCCGCCGCCCTTTGTTGTAGTCACCCGCGGCACGGCACCACCCCCAGCGTCTCCACTTGACCAATGAGAGCGCCGGGAAGGGGCGGGTCACAACACTAAACCAATAGGAGCGCAGATAGTGCGGTGCGGCTCCCGCCCACATGTCTCCGCCTAGGCCAATGACAGCCCCGGGAAGGGGCGGGCCAGGCCCTGGAGCCAATCGGAGCGCGCGGGGGCGGAGAGCGGCGGACGCCCGGGAGGCCCGGCGGGTCGTCTCGTCCGTTTCGGCGGCTCGCGGGTCGGGGGCGGCACGGGGCTGACAGGCAGATCCTCTCTAGGAGGCGACCCTGAGTTGTCCTGGGGCGTCTGGTCCGCCAGCTTGGCTCCATCTTAGGCCTGTCTCCAGACTCAGCCAGGCCATCGCCATTGCCGCCCGCAGGCGCGTCACGTAGGCCGGGCCTGGCGGCAGTGCGCACGCGCGAATGCGCACCACGTGGCGCCTCGGTGGAGCTCGAAGGTGGGTGTGAAGTAGAGTCAACTAGATGCTCTCAGCAGGTGTGTGGATGATCGGGCACCTGCTTTGCAAATAATGAGTAGTTACTGTTTCTGGGAGAAATGACACCAGCTACAGGGTTAAAACGAAAATGTTTAACTCATAATAATGAAAATAAACATTTTATAAAATCAGTGTCTGCTCTTTGCAGGATGATCAGAAATGAGAAGCATGGCTAGGAAAGTTCAGTGGGCCATAATAAAAGCAACTGGTGACCTTAAAAATAAAGCTGCCAGTCATTTTACCAGTTGGGTTTATTTGGGAATAGCAGAGAATTGCAATCCAGACCAGGCTAGCTACACCCAAACCATAGGCAAGTCGGGAGAACAAAGGAGAGGAGCACACTTCTGTAGAGGAAAGGGGGTGTTGGGAGGGGCTGTTGTAAACAAAAAGGCCGTTGGAGTAAAATAGTGGCTTCTCGAGGGCTGAGCTGTGCCTGCCTCTCATTGACTGGCTTGGTTGCCTGGGCTTGAGGAAACCTAACTTCCTCCTGCTGGGGTAGTAAAGTAGTGGCTAAGGTAGTATTTACCTGCAAGGTTCCTGCTGGGTCTGCAGTTGAGAACAGTGTTGGGGGGAGAGCTTCCTTTGCCTGCTCCCAACCCCTCCTAAAGGAGGTTTCCTTGATTCAGTTTCATAATTTATAGTGGTTCATACAGCTTTTTACAAATGCATAAGTTAAAATCAGAAGGTCTAACCCCTACATTACTCAAATGTATGTTGGCACCTCTCAGAAAACACATTCCCTCAATTTTCAGCAGGAATAAGAGGATAATTTTAGGTTGTCATTTGTATATTTCTTGTTATTGTTTTAGAAACATAACCACAATACCATTAATTACCATGTGTGAAAACCAATTACAATTACTTAATTTCATCAAATATGTAGTTAGTGTCCAGGTTTCCCTAAATTGATCCCTTTAAAAGAAAAGATTTTATTTATTTATTTGAGAGAGAGAGAGAGAGAATGAATGCACAAGCAGGGGAAGTGGCAGGCAGAGGGAGAGGGAGAAACAGACTCCCTGCTGAGCAGGGAGCCTGATGCGGGACTGGATTCCAGGATGCTGGGATCATGACCTGAGTCGAAGGCAGACACTTCACCGACTGAGCCACCCAGGCATCCCCCCCCTTTTTTAGTTTAAATCAGGACCTAAATGAGTCCAATATTTTCATTGGTTTGTGTGTTTCCTGTCTCTTAAAAAAATCATTTTGTTTTAAAATAACTTGAGGCTCACTAAGAAGTTGCAAAGACACTACAGTGTCTGAAGGCTATGTGTGTGTTTAATTTTGTAGATTCCATCCACTCCCTCTCTTTCGCCTTGCATATCATTATAAAGAAGTCAGGTGGTTTGGCTGTAGGGTTTCCAAGAATTGCTGCCTGCACCCTTCTGGAGTCCTTTAGTATACCCTTGTCCTCTGAATTCCCAGGAAAGAGTAGTCGAATGTTCTTGTGCCTTGATCCCAGGTTAAATTTTTTGGCAAGACTGTTTCATAGATGTTGTTGTGTAATTCCATCAGGAGGCTACACTAACTCCTTCCTGTGATATTAATTAGCACCCATTGATAAAACTGCATAGATCCATTCATTCATGACAGCAGTGTTTTAATCCTACCATTTCTTATTAATTTATTAGCAGGAATATATTTTTTTTAAAGATTTTATTTATTTATTTGAGACAGAGTGAGCACAAGCAGGGGGAGAGGGAGAAGCAGACTCCCCGCTGAGCAGGGAGCCCATCGATCCCAGGGCCCTGGGATCATGACCTGAGCCGATGGCAGACGCTTAACGACTGAGCCACCCAGGCGCCCCAGGAATACTTTCATAATGAGAAATTCCTCTCATCCACTATTTGGTTACTCTGTTGTAAGTTTTATAAAGAAAGGTAAGATGAATGTATAAATTGGTAAAAAAAAAAAAAAAAATCATCCAAGTTCCTTTCTCAGCATCCTCTGAAAGTGAACAAAGAATTTAAAAATAGATCATTATGAATTACGGATTTTGGGGGCTCCTGGGTGGCTCAGTCGGTTGAGCATCTCAGCTCAGCATCTTGATCTCAGGGTTGTGAGTTCAAGTCCCATGTTGGGTTTCACGTTTAAAAAAAAAAAGTTACAGATTTTTAAAAAAGATTTTATTTATTTGACAGAGAAAGACACAGTGAGAGAGGGAACACAAGGAGGGGCAGAGGGAGAGGGAGAAGCAGGCTTCCCGCGGAGCAGGGAGCCCAACACAGGGCTTGATCCCAGGACCCTGGGATCGTGACCTGAGCTGAAGGCAGCCGCTTAACTGACAGAGCCACCCAGGTGCCCCAAGAGTTATGGATTTAAATGGTTGAAGATTTTCAATTCATTTGAATTATTGTTCTTATTGATACTCAAACCCTTTTTTTCTTTTTTTCTTTTTCGCAAAGAGAATCTCTTCAGCTAGGCTCCAAAATTTTTTTGAAAAGATGCTCAAATGCTAACAGTCCTTTTGCTTTTTGATACATTTGCTTGTACATTTCCTGTTTTAGACTTGAAATCAGTCCTTTCTCCAAAAAGCCTGGTTCCTTTAGTAGGAATTGGTATTTAAAAACCACAGAATGGATCCTAGAATTGCTCATTGCTACTGCATTGGTCATTGTTTCCAGGACTTTTCAGTGGACAGCATGAGGACACATGTATTTTTTAAAGCAAAATACATTATGAACTCACACTGGTCCTTCTAATTCAAATCCAGGAATATAGGGTTCTAAATAATTGATCTTATTGACCTCACATCCATTACTCCTGTCTGAAATTCCTGGTTCCCAGTAGTACCTACCTAACATACTCATTTGCATGGTCTCCTATTACGTACGTAAAAAGTCTCACACTATGCTAACTAACTCTACTATGCAGAATAAAAACACATTTTACATATTACATTTCAATATATATTTGCATCCTGTACACCCCCTTCTTAAGTGATAGTACCTTACACACATTTCTCCATCTTGCTTTTTTCATTCAACAATACATGCTGGAGAGCATGCCATAACAATGTATAGAGATATTCCTCATTCCTTCGTGAGGATATATGTATTTCACAGGGTCCAATCAGGAGAGAGAAAGCACACAGTAATTTGAACAGAGTTTAATATAAAGAATTATTAGCAATAACTGGGGATTGGAGTGAGGGATTGGCCAGTAAAGAGAAATGAGACTATAAAGAATGCAAGAATTGTAAGAAACAAGGAGTAACCACAACCACCCCAACCAGGGCTATGACAATGAGGAGCTCACTATCCCCAGGGATGAGATCTAGACTGTTGGAGAAGGCCGCCTTTGGCTCACTGGATGGCAGAGAAGCTGTCAGATGTCGCAGTGATGGAACTTGCTGGAAATCTTCTCTGCAGGGTGCTGGGGAAAGGTTTTTTTCCACAGAAGGGATCTCACTAGAGGTACTTTTCTACAAAACCACTCAAGGGGTTGTGAGGGGAAGCTGGTGGGTACTGGTTACTGCTGACCAGTGTGCACTGTAAGAGCTGGATGCTGGAGAAGGCCTGGGGGCTGCAGGAGCCTGCAGACCCAGCACAGCAGAAGCAGGAAGAAAAGCTCTTCCTCCTGCAGTGTCTCTCCAGCACCCTCTATTGACAAAGTTTAGCATCATGCCAGAGAGTACACAAAAAATAAGAGGGCTCAGATCCATTTTCATGGATCAGGCAATGAAGTTTGAATTTAGAGCTGAGATAGAATGCATTAATAATTGGCACAATATACAGTTTTATTCACCCAGTCCCCTATTTATGGATATTGTATTTCCGGTCTTGCTATTACCAATATTCAGCAGGATTCTAACCAAATTAACTGTCATTTGTTCACACATTTAACATTTGTAAGAGTCCAGTGCAGGCTTCATTTTTAAATAGCATATAATCTAGTAGAAAAGGTGAAATTATGCAAATAAAATGTAACGCAAAGTAGAATTTCCTGGGTATCATCTCAGTTCTACCTAAATTCTGAGGAATAAGATCACTTCCAGTTGCAGCAAGCAGGAAGGACTTAAAGAAGGTACTGACAATTCAAATAGACCTTCAAGATGGTGTAGGGGAAGTCCATTTCAGGAAGATGGAATGTGAGCTGAGGGGTCAGGTCAGGGAGCCTGATGTGTTCAGACGCTGCCCAGTTTTGCTGCAGCAAGAGTAATGGTCTCAAAGTGTGGCTCCGGGACCAGCAGTATTAGCAACATCTAAATTTTACGCTCCCACACACCACTGGGAACAGGTGCTAGCAACCTGTGTTTCAAAAACCTGCCCGGTGATTCTCATGCCTGCTCAGGTTTGGGAACCACAGGCAGAGAGTATCTGAAGCAGACTGGTAAAGTAAAAAAGTCGTTTCCAAATTTTTGATCATGTGCTTATATTGGGAAATCTTCTAGGGTTATGCACACCGATGTACATGTATTTCTTTATAAGGACTATGCACCGTTGTACTCATCTTATGTAAGTTATAAAACACATGGAGAATAAACAAGAAGAACGATGGGAACCGAAGCTCTCCTCTGTTCTTCCAGCACCCCACATGGCCCTCGACCGCCCGCTTTGGAGAGCACTCGGGGAGGTGGGCAGTGACTGTGGTGGAGGCTCTCCTGTTTCAGGGAGGGCCCTTCCCTTCATCTGCTCAGAATTGGAAAGGCAGTTTAGGGTCCTGACCAGGGACCACGGGATTGAGTCCTGCTTCGGGCCTCATCTTTCCGCAGTAAGGGAAGGTGGTGTTTTGGTGGAGCAGGTAGGCCACCTCCGTGGCCATTGCAAGGTTTTCCTGGAGAAAACTGTCTTTCCTACTGCAAGTCTCCGACAACAGCCCAGCCAATGAGAGAGGCCCACTGCCCAGCCAATGGAGGCAGCCACAGCCCAGCCAATGGGAGACAGCTACAGCCCAGCCAATGGGAGGCGGCCACGGCCCAGCCAATGGAGGCAGCCACAGCCCAGCCAATGGAGGCGGCCACAGCCCAGCCAATGGGAGGCGGCCACAGCCCAGCCAATGGAGACGGCCACAGCCCAGCCAATGGGAGACAGCTACAGCCCAGCCAATGGGAGGCGGCTACAGCCCAGCCAATGGGAGGTGGCTACAGCCCAGCCAATGGGAGGCGGCCACAGCCCAACCAATGGAGACAGCCACAGCCCAGCCAATGGGAGGTGGCTACAGCCCAGCCAATGGGAGGCGGCCACGGCCCAGCCAATGGAGACAGCCACAGCCCAGCCAATGGGAGACGGCTACAGCCCAGCCAATGGGAGGTGGCTACAGCCCAGCCAATGGGAGGCGGCCACAGCCCAACCAATGGAGACAGCCACAGCCCAGCCAATGGGAGGCGGCCACGGCCCAGCCAATGGGAGGCGGCCACGGCCCAGCCAATGGAGGCAGCCACAGCCCAGCCAATGGAGGCAGCCACAGCCCAGCCAATGGGAGGCGGCCACAGCCCAGCCAATGGAGACAGCCACAGCCCAGCCAATGGGAAACAGCTACAGCCCAGCCAATGGGAGGCGGCCACAGCCCAACCAATGGAGACAGCCACAGCCCAGGCAATGGGAGACAGCTACAGCCCAGCCAATGGGAGGCGGCCACAGCCCAGCCAATGAGAAGCCACCACACTTCCAGCTCCCAGCTTACTCCAATGGACTTCCTGTTTACAACAATTCACCCCCCCCCCCAACCACCCCCACCCCATATAAAAAGAGCCTCCTCTCCTTACTCTCTGGACAGGTCTGTGGCTGTGGTGGAACCTGTGTGTCCTGGGTTGGGCTTCACCCTTCTTTGCTGGTGAAACAGCGGGCAGTGTTACTGTTAAGGTGAACATTTTACTGGGATTGCACTGAATCTACAGATCAAATTAGCAGAATTTGTCTTTTAGATGACTTTTCAACGCATGAACGACTATCTTATCTCTACTTCAGTGTCACTAGACTTTACCATTTTTGCCTTAGCTTGTACACATCTGTTGTTAGATCACCTTCAGATACTTCCCATTTTTGTCATTTTGTTTTTTAAAAGATTTTATTTGAGAGTGCGCGCGGGAGAGCGAGCACGAGCTGGGGGTGGGGAGAGGGAGTAGCAGACACCCCGCTGAGCGAGAGGCCCGAGGCGGGGCTGGAGCCTTGAGCAAAGGCAGACGCCTAACCGGCTGAGCCGCCCAGGCGCCCTTTATTTGAGGCATAATTTACCTTCACGGACTTCCTAGGGTTCAGTTACCCCGCAGACGTTCCCAGGTGGCGGCCGTCACCAGCACAGGCCACCCGCTTCCTGCCCGCGCTTGCTAGCGGTGCTTCCCCACGACACCCGGGATACTCAGGAACCGCTGATTCTGCCGCCTTGAGGCGAGGACGAGGTCCTGCCCCAGCCCCGCCCCAACCCGGAAGTCGGCCCCGCTCGCTCCCTGGAGCCCGGAAGTCAACTACAGCCCCGCCGAGCCCCCGGAAGTCGGCCCCGCCCGCTCCGCGGAGGCCGGAAGTCAGGCACCCCGCCCCCGACAGTCCGGAAGTCTGCGGTCCCGCCCCCAACCCCGGAAGTCGGCGGCCGGCCGCCCGCCCCAGGTCCCGGCCCTGCGCCCGCGCCCGCGCGGTCTGGTGCTCGGTAGGCGCGGGGGTCGGGCCGTCTTCGCGGGCGGCGGGCGGGCGGCGAGCGGCCCGGGCGGGCGACGCGGCGGCGGCGGGGCGTCTCGGAGCTGCGGGAAGCGGGCCGGGCGCGCGGGGCCTGCTGGGTCCGGCTGCGGCGGAGCTGCCGGCCGGCGTGACGCGGCCCGCCTGCGTCGGGGGTAGCCGGGCGGTGGACCAAGACCCGGCCCGCGTGTGTATCCGCTGAATCCACCCTTTACTGTCTAAGCTTGGTCCGACTCCCCTGCAGAGTCTGGAAAGCTTCCCGGAACTGGGTGCCCAGCCCGCGCTCTGCGTGCGTTGCAGTCCGCGGGGCAGCGTGCGTTCAGCAGGTGCTCGGGCGCTCCCGACCCTCCGCCGCGCGTGGCCTGTTGTCCCGGCGGCCGGAGGGACTCAGCCCACGACGGGACTTGCAGTGCCCTTTCCGGGTGGAGGCCCGCAGAGGGAAGGGAGGGCATTCTGATAGGTTCTGCGAGGGTGGCGGAAGCTTAATGCAGCTGAGGGCTAACGGCTTCCGAGGACTGCGGTTTCCCGGTAGGACGGGCCAGCTGGTGGTCAAGAGCTTGTCGACGCTTTGCGAGTGCCGAGCTGGGCAAGCAGCCCCCGTGCGATCCGCGTAACTGAGCAGAGAAGGGCCTTGCAGAGGAAGGGGCCCTTGGGGGACTGCGGAGACCGCCGTGTGGTGAGGAGCTGGGCGCTTGTGAGCAGGCACTGGCGTGAGGACTCCGGCTGTGCTGTCTGCCCTCCCAGCCCCTGTCTCCTGTCGCGAGCGGTGCGCGCTCAGTCCAGGGATGTACATGCGGGTGGAGTCACGCACCAGCTCCTGCCTCCATCTGAAGAGGGCTCCAGGCATCAGGTCCTGGTCTTTGCTTGTTGGTAAGGATTTCCGTATTTCCCCGCAGATTAAAAATCTAACTTAAAAAAGATGAAAATGAAACTGTCCTCTGTTCTGTTTCCCCCAAGTATAGCAATTGTTTTGCTATTTTGTATCTTCCAGCTTTTACCCTATATGCACAGCTTTTGCCCTACATGCGTGCCTTTACAGAGCATCTGTCCTTTTTTCCACCACTTAATATCCTAATGTTAATATTGTGCATGTTCTTTTGAGGTCCTCGTATTCCTTTTACTTGCTTCCATACACCTGGTTGCAGGTGTAAGAGGCTTACGTGATGGGCCACAGTTCATTCCCATTTTTTCCTTCGTCCCTCTCACTGTCCATCAGAGGGTCCTGCACTGGAGGGGCAGCGCATGGTGTTGATGGGATCGGACATATGAAGAGGGGCGTGGCTGTGCCTTCAGCAGCTTGTCTCTGGTCCCTCTTTCCCGTGACCCTGCATGTGGCTGCCTGCCTGTTCTGCTTCACGTGCCATGTTGTGATTCTTTACCTACATCTTATGCTCATTCCACACCACATGCTGTTGGAGTAAAACCCTTGCTGTCGGCTGCTCTGTCTGGTTTCCCAGCAGCTCTGGAGCCTCGGGTAGAGGAACGTATTTAGGGAATCCTATGAATGGCATTTGCCCCGTTTCTGAGTGCACTTCCTGGCTGTTTCCCCCACTTCTGAGCCTGGTGGTCTTCTGTCCCCCTGCCCCCCACCCCCAGCCATCCCTGGCACCAGGGAGGGCCTGCTTGTCTGGGCCTGTGGCTCCTGGGAGGAGGGGGCTCTGGGCTCGTGGTGGCCCAATAGGGAGGCACTTGCTTTCTTTTCTCTGCAGGAATCTTGTCGATTGGTCTGGCTGCTGCGTACTACAGTGGAGGTGAGATGCATCACCCCCCCGCCCCCAGTAGCTTCCTTGGCTGTTTGGGAAATAGAGAAAAGAGAGGGAACCCACCATTTGTGGTGCTCACCGAGGCCCAGCCTTTGGGGCCACAGGTGCCTCTGCCTCTTGGCTCGCACGTGCAGCCCCAGCTCCGTGTGCTGCTGTGTCCTTCCTAATACGCTTGTCCCGTGCAGCCTGTGCTTTTCCCTTCTTGTATCTGAAGCACTTTCCTGTGTCATGACACATTCTTCAAGAAGGTGCTCTCTCGTATTTGCCTGAGGCTCTGCTGCAGGCTGAGCCACACTTCCAGCCACCCCTGCAGGTTCCTCTCTCCAGGATCACAAACTGCGCCACGATCGGCAGAGCCGGGTCAGCCCTGACTCCTGTGTCCAGCAGACACTGGAGGGACAGCAGAGGGTGCACAGAGCTGGCCGAGCATTTCACACGTGGTTCTGCGTGACAGCAGTGTCGGGTGGCCGTCCTGAGCCGGGGTCAGCCAGCCCCAGATGCCGCCCCTGCCCAGTGTCAGCTGGGGAGGGCCCCCCATGGCATGTTGGCCTTCACCTCTCTGCTGCTGTCCCTCACCCGGCTGCGTGCTGTGTTTGCTCTTCAGATAGTCTGGGCTGGAAGCTCTTCTATGTCACGGGCTGCCTGTTCGTGGCCGTGCAGAACCTGGAGGACTGGGAGGTAAGGCCAGCACAGGTGAGGGTGGGAGGGTGCAATGGGAATCATAGCAGGAGGAGAGGCTTTGGGGCCTCACACACTCCCCATCCGGAAACCTTAGCTTAGTGGTTTCTGGGCCGAGGAATTTTCTGAAGCTATTTTTCTCGTAGAAGCTCTTCATGACTGTTTGCACCAAAATTCTTTACTCCCTAGTGTTGCCAATAGCACAGAACAGAATGAGGGCCAGTCCGTCTCCCTTGGTGGCCAGCAGTCTCCCCTGTGCCTTGGTCCCTTTCATGAGGAACCACAGGACTCGGGTGCTCTCTGACCTCCAAACTTTGACCTCTATTCCTTTGTTTGATGACCTCAGCTGCTGTACTTCCCTTTTGCTTGGGGAGAGCACCTGCTTAGACGCCCCTCTTTCTCTCTACACCCGTGGCCCTGTGCTCCCGACAGACAGGAGCCTGGGAGGGTCTGGCTGTGGGTGTTCGGCTCTGGCAGAGCTGGGTGTCTTCCCGAGTGTCCGCTCCCGCAAGTCCAGGCCCCCCTCTGGAAGTTCCACGTGTGGCTGGCCTGCACACACTCAGGCCCGCAGCCGGATGATCCCCTTCTGGCCGGTTTTCCAGGAAGCTGTGTTCAACAAGAGCACTGGGCAGGTGGTTCTGCAGACATTCAGCTTGTACAGGAAGCTGCTGACTCTTTTCAGAACTGGCCACGACCAAGGTGAGGCATGCAGAGTGTACGGGACACAGGGTGCGGCAGGAGGCTGGTTATTCCAGACTGGATGGAGGGTGGTGAGCGAGACCGCAGAGACCAGGCCTGAGGCCCAGAAATGGGGTGGGTCCGAGCTGGCCGCTGGGTGACACAGGGTGACCCCGGACATTGCCTGGCAGCCTCTAGCTCAGTGGCTGGTCATTAGGCACTAGGAAGGCATTTTTCAACGGCTGGGGGAAGATGAAGCAGAAAGACGGGCAACACAGACCTTAGCCCGTCCCTGACGTGTTGCTGCTCATGGGAGCACGGGCAGGCTTTCCAAGGTGACCACGGGTGTGCTGGATGCCCCTCCTCACCCAGATGGTGCTCTCTGCACCAGCCTGTGCTGTGGCCACGGACCTGTGGCGCCGTCCTCTGGAGAGTGGCTGTGCCCAGCACACAGGCGGGAGGGGCAGGTGGGGAGGAGGGGACCCCTGACCGACCCCCACCCGCAGTGGTGGTCCTGCTGAATGACATCCGGGATGTGAACGTGGAGGAGGAGAAAGTCCGGTATTTCGGGAAGGGCTACGTGGTGGTGCTGCGGTTTGCGACAGGCTTCTCCCACCCCCTCACCCAGAGCGCTATCATGGGCCACCGCAGGTAAGCTCTGGGCAGGTGACTTGATTGGCCACAGCTGGCTGCCTGTGCCCCTAACCCTCCCATCAGGTGGCCCCCACAGTGGACTTCGTGGCTGGGCCCAGGGAGAGGACTTGGAGGAACGTGGCCTGCCCCTGCTGCTAGGGGAATGTTGGGAGTCTCCACAGGGACAGAGGGGACGGGGACGAGTCTCCATGAGGACAGAGGGCAGGGCTGGGGTCAGGTGAGGTGGGGACCAGAACAGAAGGCACCATGTCCTTAGAGGGGAGCCCTGGAGGTGGCAGAGGTGGGTGGTCCAGCAGGAGAATGGTGTGGGCAGCAGGCACGTCTGCCATGGTAATCTGCCCTTCCTCCCGGTGTCGGCCTGGCCCAGTGACGTGGAAGCCATCGCCAAGCTTATTGCCACCTTCCTGGAACTGCACCGCCTGGAGAGTCCTGTGGAGCTGTCTCAGAGCAGTGACAGCGAGGCTGATGGCCCAGGGAGCCAGAGCTGATGCCCACAGAGCCCCTGGCCTTGGTTCTGGTGGTGCCCTGGTAGGCCTGATGGGCCACTGGCAAGTCTTCTTCCAGCACCTGGGTGTGTCTCTGGCAGTGCCAGGGTGGGACCCTCAGCCATTCCTGCTGCTTGCTTCCGCCCTCTGAGCAAAACCATAGGCTGATTTCTGCAGGCCTCAGAGCTGCCTCCTCCTGGCATCAGATGGCTGGCCCCAGCCTGGGTGGTGTGGGTGGGGCGTGAGGGCACACGTACCCCACTGCCCCACCAACTGTGTGGGGATCAGGTCTCTGAAATGGGGAGGGATGCCCAGGCTCCCGGCGGGGGGGGGGGGGCGGCAGGGAGGTTCGCCAGAACCAGCTCCCCCAGCATTTCAGCTCCCCAGTGAGAGCAAGGCTTTAGCAGGTGGGCCCAGGGCCAGTGGCTGGGTTAGGCTCTGAGGATGCTAGGATGACAGCCACACTCTCAAGTTGTCCGTGGGAATCCCAGGGGGTCCTGCCCCACATGCTGTAGCCCTTCTCGGGCTCAACGTCCTCAGTGGTTAGAGTGCGGTGCTTGCCCAGCGTCTGTAGGGCCCAGGGCGGACGCTGAGGGTCCCATCTGACTATGTGCACTGCAGCCACTCCCAAGGCCTCCCCAGCCCACAGACAGCACCTGTCCAGCTGGGCCTGCAGCTGGGCTTTCATGGGGTGGGGGAGGCCTCATGCAGGCCCTAGACGAGGGCAGCTCCCTTAGGAACCCAGGCAGGACGTGGGCCCAGGGCTGCTGTAGAGGTGGGGGGCAGCAAGGGCACCTCTGAGCAGGCACTCAGGAGCTATGCCTAGGACTGGCTGGGGAGCACTGCAGAAGAGGGTGGGTCTCTGGGGAGACCCACCCTCTTCTTAGCAGAGGTCACCAACAGCTCTAGTTTGGGGATGCAGTCATTTACACATGCCAAAGTTAGGTTTTAAAGTGGTAAAATCTGAAAGCCTTCTTTTTCTAAAATAAAGTATGAAATGTTGTAACTGGTTTTTGGTGTGGTCATCCCGACTGGAGGATGTCCTGAGTTGTGGAGGGATCTGTTTGGCTGGCTCCCCTTTGCCTTTGCTGGGCCTGCAGGGTGAGAAGAGTCTCGGGACCACCGTGCAGGACCCATGGGAGGAGCAAAGTCTGAGTCCCACTAGCAGGAGTTCTAGCTCCCACTCTCCTTTTTATTTCAAGCCAACAGGTTCTACATGCGGATCAGTAAGCAGGCCTCAGTGTGTGTCCTTCTTGGACATTTCCCACTCATCTTTCTCAGCGAGAAATGTCTGCACCGTGGGTGTGGCCTATTGCAGGTGGTCCCGGGTACAGGGGGAGGCCGGACGCAGCTGGACAGGGGTGCCTGGCCCCACGCCTCAGGGGTCCTGAGCTGTGAGCGGCCTGGGGCTGGCTGCCTCTCTGAGGTCCTGTAGCAAACCCTGTAGCCGCCTCAGGCTGGGCTGCACGTTCTCCTCCAGCCACTCCTCCACGGTGTCTGGGTAGAAGACGCGATGCAGGGCGGCCTCCAGCTCCTGCACCAAGGTGCTCCACCTGGCCAGGAGGCTGAGCAACACAGCCAGTGGTGAGCCCGCCTGGCGAGCACCCCTGGGTGACAGCTCACAGCCTATGCACTACACTCACATGCTGCACAACCCCACGGGTCGGTACGGTTCTATGCCTCAGTTTACCCATGCATAAAACGGGGCTATTAGTGCCCACCTCACGGGGTGGTTGGGAATAAGTGAGTTATGTTTTCACATCTGAAACTAGAATGCTTTTGACAACTGGCTGGCAGGGTTTGTCTTTAGGCGTGAACCTGTCGACATCGGACAGCATCTTTCACTCAGTGGGGACACTGCGTTGGCCTCAGCTCAGAGCTGTGAGCCAGGAGAGCAGCAGGGAGGGCTGGCTGGCCAGGATGAGCCCTGGACCCTCACCCTTTTAGGCTAGGAAGGCCCTGGCTCCTCGAACGCTTATGGCACAGGTGATTCAGCAAAATTGATTCATCTAGGAATTCACGGCTGCAATACCTAGAAAGCTCGTCTTGGTTCAAAGCCGATAGCCCCAGAGGACGTGTAGCCCTGGGGGTGGGCAACTAACCTGAGCGCCTGGGGCTGGATGTGCTGGACCATGACCGGGTGGATGAGCTTCCGCCTGCGGTGGTAGGAGCTGAACCAGCCAGTCACGTACCTGGGGGGCAGACCCACGCATGCTGGTGGACCCTCTGCAGCTAGCAGGGCAGCCTCAGGGTGGTTTTAAAATAACACCTTTGAAAAAACTTAAAAGAGTCTGGGAGAAATTTTAAAAAGCTGGTTCCCCCCAGAAAGTCTCTGTATAGGACAGGCCACCCTCACCCTGTCCTGTTGGGAGTGGGGGGGGGGGGCTCAGGCCCTGCCCACTCACCTGTCCCTCTCCAGCAGCGCGTCCACAGAGCTGTGCAGGTGGAGGCCGATGTGCGTGACAAGGGCCAGGATGTCGCTGCCAGGGAAGGAGCCGGCCCCCTCACTGCACGAGAGCCGTTGTGCTGAGATGGGGGTCCCAATGCGAGGGGAGAGGCAGGGCTGGGGTGGGGGGGCTTACCTTGTAAAATCAGTTATTTCTAGATTAGAAATCCCAAGAAAGTTCTCCACTTTTGCTTTAACATCTTCGGCAAAACCTCCTGCAACCAAGCACAGACGGAGATGGTCAGCGGGGCCTCTGGAGGAGAGAGAGGCTGGGCCCTGCACCACCGCGCAGGCCTGGTGGCAGGCAAAGTGACCAAGGTCAGCGTGCACGTGCCAGCCCCAAGGAGACCTCGGGGACGGGGCTGCTGGTGCAACACATGAAACGGGCTCACCACGGAAAAACGAGAAAACCAGATGCAGAGCGGCACCATCACGAGGGGCCCACAGGTGTGCGGGACATACGCAGCACCTGGCAAGCGCGGTTGCTCACACGTGGACTATTCCAGAACAACGGACACGAGCCAGCGAGGCTTGCGCGGGAGCAGCTGGTGGGGCAGGAGGCCCGTCTCCACAGAGGGGAGGGCTCCGTGGCAGCGGCGCCTGCCTCCGAGGTGGGCAGTGGTAGCCAGCACCGTGTCAACAGCAGAGGCGGCCGCGGTGTCCCCGCACCTTTCCCTGAACGGTTCACAGCTAATGCTTCAGAGGGCATCACGTAGAGGGAAGGCTCAGTGTCCGTCCTTGTGCCACTTGTGTGCGGCCTCTAGCGGTGGGGAGCCAGGCCCCGTGCACCCCGCGTCGCCCCCGCGAGCCCAGGTCTCTGCCTGAGTGGGGGTGCCCTGGCTGGCACTGGGCAGCCAGGCATTCAGCAGAGGCCTTTTCTGCACCCACCCACGCGAACTGCTTTCACAGGCTTGCTGCGTCTGGGGGCAGCCGGGGGGTGGGCGGCTGAGCCCCGCTCCACTGGGGAGGAAGACCACAGTCCAGCTCCAAGGAGGCGCAGTGGGGCATCCGGCACCGGGCTCTGCGCCCCACCCACGCCCCGCGCCCCCGCACCCCGGGAGGAGCAGGGGCCGTACCGTGGAGCAGTGACTGCAGGCAGACGGCCAGGGACGGGATTCCCACGGGCAGCAACTCGCACAGCACGGAGAAGTGGTCGTACCTAGGTCCACGGGAGAAGGCCGCTCAGCTCCCGCCGCCGTGCCCACACGGCAGATGCCTGCACACTCTCCCAGCACACGGGACAGGCCTCGAGAAGCTCCCAGAGTGGGCTGCTGCCTCTGGACATGTGCCACCCAGAGGCCCTGCTTGGGGCTTACTGCTCTGAGGTGGCCACCCTGACTCCGCTGTGGGAGGCCTGAGGGTCGGCAGGGCATGGGCGGGGGCCTCCAGCTGCCTCCCCCTCTGCCCTCCCAATCGCAGGCATGGACCTGTGGCTAGGACTTGGCCAGGAACAGGGCTTCACTTGCAGCTCACTTTTCAAATGGTGCGAAATCCCTAAAGAGATAAAATCTGTCTCATGCCGGCCGTACGTGAGACAAGGTATGTGTGAGGCTGCTGACAGTGCAGAGGGGACCAGGGTGTGTCGTGGTCCCAGACACCCTGAGTGGCGTCCACTCTGCAGAGTTTGGGGGACGGCTGCGGGGGTGTTAGGTCCCCAGCCCCTCCCCAGGGAGGGCTGAGGCCCAGACTGGACGGGCCAAGGAAGGTGGTCTGTCCCGGACGACCAGCGCTGTTCGGCCCCTCCTGGGCAGGCCAGCCCGAGAGCTTCCCCAGGGCCTGCATGGCCTTACCTCTGCCAGCCGGTCAGGACGATGCCCTGCAGCATGTCCGCGGGCCCACTGGCCGCCACCTGCAGCCACTGCACGTTGTTCCTGAGGTGGTGCTCGATGGGGGTCAGGGCCTGGCTTGCCCCCGTAGCCCCCTTGAAGGCGCTGGCAGCCCACAGCCGGAGAAAACCACACTTTCGGTACTTTTCCATGAGAAGAGCTAGGCGAGAAAGTGAGTGGTGTGATGGGCCTGGGTCCGAGGAGCTGCGGCCGCCAAGCTGGGACACTGCACTCGTCCAGACCAGAAAGCAGGAGGAGCCCCCAGCTGCCAGCTCCAGTTCCGGGCAGACTGAAATCTCAGCAAGAGAAGAGACACCTGCCACGTGCAGGTGAGCGCTAGTCCACCTGCTCGTTAGGAAAAGAGCAGACAGAACGGGACGTCTCGCGAGTGACCCGGTGCAGGACGTGTGCCGGGTGCTCCCACGGCTGGCCACGGCTCACTCGGGGAGGGGCCTTCGGGGAAGCGGAGGCTGTTGGCAGGATCCTGATGAACCAAGGGACCGAGGCCCCCGCACGCCCCCAGCTGGGCAGTCAGGGCTCCAGGGTCTCTTGGCCGTGGCCAGGGTACTGACCTTTGCCGTGGACGTCCAGGTCGGCCCCGTAGTCCCAGAGCACGGGCTCCACCAGCCGTGGTACCCCCGATGCTGGGGGCGGGAGAGCGGCTGTGAGCCGAGAGCTGCCTGGACACAGCCCCGCAGCCCCCAGTCCTGGCCTTACAACAGAGCCCGGGCTGACTTGTTCAGGGTGCCTGTGCTTTAAGTACAGACTCGACACAGCTGTGTTTTTGACGGTAAATGCTGCAACCTGACATCGGCCAACTTTGGCAATGACCAGACTCTGAGAGTTCTGTGAAAAGTGAGCCCCCCCGGCCGGGGGTCCCAGAGCTCCCTGCAGGGGAAATGCTCTGCATGCTGCAGTAGGGGCGCCGGGACCGGGTGCAGCAGGAACACATCGCTACTTGGATTTAACTCTAACTAATCTTACGAGAACCCAAATGGCCACACGTGGGTCGGGGCTGCCTCGAGGACACCCCAGCCTTCCAGAGGCTGGGGCAATGGCCAGACTCTGGGCTGGGGCTCTGAGTGGACCACAGGGTGTGTCTCTGGTCTCACCCCAGAGCCTCAGACAGGGTGAGCCCTGGGGCTGGAGGGACTGCTACTTTCCTTGACCAGCAGCCAACGTGAGCCTCAGCCACAGCCCCTGTAGGCTGGCCACAGCGTCCTGTGAGGCCGAGGCGGCCAGGAGCACTGGACACTCAAGGCCCGGTGGGACCCTCTTACCCCCATCACCCTCCTCCTGCTGGCCAGGCCCATCAGGGCCCCGTGGCTACTCTCGGGTTCAGGCCTAACACTCTGCACTCCTGTAAGACTTGCAAATGCCTTCTGGGGGAATGGCAGTTTTGTGTGAGAAAGTTTGGAGAGCGGCTCTAAGGGAGTCGCCTGGACTGAGAGCTTTGGGGCAGGGGTCCCAGAGTCCGCCCCCAGCAGCTGCTCGCCTCCTCGCTCCCGGCACCAGAGGCCTGGCGGATGCACCAGCCGACCTGAGAGTTGGTCCTCGGGGATGGCCCGCAGCATGTCGTCCCACACCAGGGGCCTCGTGGCAGGGTGCTGGGCCAGCACGTGGCAGGCCACCGCCTTTATGTGGGACAGACACAGTCTTGCTTTGGTGTTATGCTCCTGCTGCAGCCACTGCCTTGAGGCCTCGCCCTCTCCAAGGTAATAGACCTGGAAGGAAGCACAGGACGATTTGGCCCCGGATCACCCGGCCTCACCGCGGGCGCGCTGGGGAGAGACCTGGCTCAGGCCATGTCCCCCAGGATGTCAGTGGCAGCTGCCCGTGTGGAGGGGCTGGTGAAGGGGGCCCTCCTCCTTCACCGAGACCTAACTTCCACTGCAGGCTGCCTTCAAGCATTCACAGCAGCCCAAGGGCAGAAATAACCGAGGTGTCCACCAGCCAGCAAGCAGATAAACAACGTGGGGATGGTCTCTGCCACTGCTGGGGTGTGGACAGCATGGCTGTTTCGGGTCACAGCCCAGCCCTCGTCCGTCCCGCAGGGTGCAGCTCGCCGTGCTCAGCAACATGGCTTTGCCCGCACGAGGTCACAGGTTAGCTGGGATGGACGCCCTCACCGGGGGACGTCTCCTCGGCCAGCTCTTCTTTGTCCTTTGGCACGTGGACTATTTTTCTATGTAAGAAAATAGCCCACAAGGTGGGACAAGGAGCCCTTGAAATGAGGAAGAGGGGCTGCTACAGCACTGGGAGGGACACGCCAGGTAGGCGAGGCTCAGGGGTGGAAGAAGCATTGAGGGACCCACCTCGTCACAGCCGACATGGAGCCACCGGGCACCCGGGTGCAGCTCCATGACCTGGCTGATCATAGCTCCCACCAGCGCCAGGGACTCCGCCTCGTGGGGGTTCAGGGTGTTGGGGAAAAGTGCTACTTCTCGGAGGTGAGCGAGAGCCTCGTGCTTCAGCACAAACTGCGGAGAGACGGGAGGTGACACTGCGAGACAGAAGCCTGCAGCTGAACCGAGCAAGGGCTGGCTCCAGGTCACCCCAGAGGGCACTGGTGGGCCGGGCTGAGCCTGTGGCTGGCTCATGGCCCTTTCCATCCGATCTATCTGGGCCCGGGGAGAAAAGTTAAAGCCAGGCTCACAATCAGATCGAGCTGCCACCAGCTGGAATGTGAGGGGTGACCGTGGACATGAGAGCCACAGTGCTGACACACTCTCCTCACACCCCGGCTGACTGGGGACCACACACACACACACACACACACAGCCAAGGCAGACGGGGGACTGGCTGAACTCCCAGCGTCCCCAGCCCCTGCGGCACAGGGTGGGTCCTCACGGCCCCAGCACACCACTGCCCAGACCCTGGCTGACTACCAGCCCTGAAGACAGAGGGGTGGCCCCTAGGAAGCCAGGCCAAAAATACAAGTACGAATAAAACACTAACAGAGGGATCAGTAGCCACACGCAGCTGGGGAGACAGACCCTGCAGACTGAATGCAGGCAATTTACAACCACCTGCAGGAGCAAAAGTCAGATTCGCAGTATTATCTGAAATATCCAATTTCCAACCAAAAATCATGAGATGTGCAAATAAACTGGAAAGTGGAACCCAGACTCAGGGAAAAAGCCAGTCGGACCCTGATATCAGATTTATCGGATGACTACTCAAAGAAACTATTCTGAAAATGTTCCCAGAATTAAAGGAAACTATTAATAATACTGAAAAATGGGCTCCACAGCAGACCTGACATGTCAGAAGGAACAGTGATTGTGGTGGCAGACCAACAGGAATTACTCAGTCTGAACAACAGAGAGAAAAGGAGAGAGCCAAGAGCCTCAGAAGCCCATGCGATGACATCAGGCACACCCCCCCCGGGTGGAGGGGAGAGAAGGGGCACAGAAGCACTTGAGGACATGGCCCAAAACTTCACAAAAGTGAAAACAGAGTTCCAAGAAGCTCAACAAAACCCAAGCAGGATAAATGGAAAGAAACTCAAACCTAGAAGTCATAACCAAACTGCTACAAGGCAAACACAAACAGGAAGTCTTGAAAAGATCAAGAAAAGAGAAGAAAAACTTAAGGAAATAATATTGTAATTAAAGGCTGACATACCATGTTCATGGATTGGAAAATCCAACAGAGTAGAGCTGATTTTCCCCCAAACTGATTTACATTTAATGCAATTTCAATCAAAATCCCAACAAGGTTTCTTCTTTTTTAAAGATTTTACTTATTTGAGAGAGAGAGAGAGAAAACGAGCTAGCAGGGGGAGGGGCAGAGGGAGAGAATCTGAGGTAGACTCTCCACTGAGCAGGGAGCCCAACACAGGGCTCAATTCCAGGATCCTGAGATCATGACCTGAGCCGAAGGCAGATGCTTAACAGACTAGGTCACCCAGGTGCCCCAATCCCAGCAAGGTTTCTTACAGATGTAAAAACAACTGAGTCTAAAATACACATGGGGAAGCAAAGGGAGCAGAATAGACAAAGCAACTCTGAAAAAGAAGAATAAAGTTGGAGGAATCTTATTACCTGATTTTATTTAAGATTCACAGTAAAGCTACAATAATCAAGATAAGGTGGTACCAACAAAGGGACAGATGCATAGACCAATGAAACAGAATAGTTCAGACCCTCACAAATAAGGTCAACTGATTTTTGACAAAGGTACAAAAGCAATTCCAAATTCTAAAGAGAGGCTAATCTTTCAGTAAGTGCTGTTGGCATGACTGGCCATCTCAAGTGGTCACACAGCATAATGCAAAAAACAATGAACCTCACACCTTACATAAAAATTAACTCAACATGGACCGTAAGTGGAAAGTGTGTAAATGTAGAACTTTAGAAGGAAATAGGAAAAATCTTCACGACCAGGTGACTGACAGAGTTCTTAGAAATGACACCAAAAGCACAATCCATCAAAGCAAAACTGAGAAACTGGACCCATCAAAATTAGAGACTTTTGCTCTTTGAGTACACTAAGGGAATGAAAAAATAAAGCACAGATTGGGAGCAAATAGTTGCAAATCACAGATCTAATGAAAGACTTGTATCCAGAATTTCCAAAGAACTTAAGAACTCAACAGTTCAGAAGATGAAACATGCAAAATGCTTGCAGTTATTTCACCAAAGAGGACATCCTGATGGCAAGTAAATGCATGTTAACAGTCTTTCTCCAGAAGAAACCAACCCTGAGGACACCCGACCTTGGACATCTGGCCTCCAGAACTGTGAGAGAGCACACTTCTGCGGGTTTAAGTGACCTGGTTGAGGTCCTTTGCTGCAGTGGCCCCAGAAAACAAACCCACTCAGAGCAGGCCCCTCAAGGAGCAGGAGTGGGGGAATGACTGGGAGAAAGGGTGGGAGTGGCACTGCTGGGGACCTTCGGGCACACAGGCTGGACGCAGAGGGTTGGTGGGTGCTGACCTGAGAGAGGAGTAAGGGCAGCAGGACCACACAATGGCCCGAAGTGCAGGGGGATGAGGGTGCCAGAACAGGGCGGAGGAGCCAGGCTCTGGTGGTCATGAGGACAAAGGGGAAGCAGGAGTGGACATGGCACTGTATGGAGAGGGAGCGTCAGCTGAGGAGGGAGAACTCGAGAGGAGTCATGGGGACCGCCGCTGTGTCCAGGGGGCTAGCAGAAGCAGCACAGCCAGGGGTGGGGGGCTGGGAGGGACCAGCTGGGGCTGCAAAAAGCCCAAGTCAAGGGTGAGGGGCCAGAACGTGTCGCTACATTTAGTGACCTGGAGGGACGCTCTGTGGGCCGCAGCCTGTGGTGGTGGGAAGTGAGGAGACCAGAGAGCTCGGCAGGGAGTGCCAACCAGGAAAGCTGGGGGCCTGAGCACGGGAGACACGGCTGCGGCAGGGGAAGGGGCGCATGGCTGGACGGGAAGAAAGTGCCTCTGGTGCAATCTGCGCTTGAACACCTGGGGTAGGGCAGCCCACAGGGCTAGCAGCTGTGTCCATTACAGGAAACCACGGAACCTGTAGCCATTAAATCAGTGCTGTGTTTAATCTGCTGCCCATCTTCTGATGCAGATGTGAGAAATACTTCTGAAGATCACATAGGAGCTTGGGAAAATACTTTCAGTATTAAGTGATGAATACAAGTTAAAAAGAAAACAACTCGACCCTCGGGGCTCCATGGGAATTGGGCATCCCCCACTGGCTCCTTCCCTCCATTCCTTGGACAGAGGTTGCTCTGACCTAGAGCTCCATGCCCTTCAGCCATTTGCAGGGCAGGGGCTTCTGAGAAAGAGTTGCTCCCTGCCTGTGGCTGGCCACTGCCTATGTGCCCCCGAGCCCCACACCTGGGCACCAGGTAACTTCTGTTCCTCCCACTTACCTCCATGTGTCCAAATGTCTGCACCAATGGAATGACCTCTAGCTCGTTCAGTGTAGCCAGATGTAGGATCTCCTTGATTTCAGGGGGACTAGGAGACAAAGATCATCCAGAGGTTCACTGCAGCCCGTTCACACCAGCTCCAGTTCACTCCAGCCTGTTCACACTCCAGGAGCTGTTCACACCAGCCCCTGTTCACACTCCAGCCACTGTTCACACCAGCTCCTGTTCCCACTCCAGGCCCTGTTCACACTCCAGCCCATTCACACCAGCTCCTGTTCACACTCCAGTCCCTGTTCACAACAGCTCCTGTTCACACTCCAGGCCCTGTTCACACTCCAGCCCATTCACACCAGCCCCTGTTCACACTCCAGGCCCTGTTCACACTCCAGCCCATTCACACCAGCTCCTATTCACTCCAGCCCCTGTTCACATCAGCTCCTGTTCACACTCCAGCCGCTGTTCACTCTTGCACTCCTGTTCATGCTCCCCCTCCCTTGTCAGGTTCTAGGGGGGATTCTCCTGGGGAAACTAGTACAGTCACTATTTCCAAAAAGCTCAAAAGATATTCCTAAGGTTTCAGAGAGGGCTCCCACCCTATAATTTGGGAAAATGATGCTCTGCTATGTCAAGTAATGGTTTGGTTTTTACCAGTTATTCTTACCAAACTCTATAAAGAAGCTGAAGTCATTTTACAAGAAACTGGGCCATACAGGGAATCATATTCTACAACAGGGGTTGGCAGATGGGCTCAGGACAAATTCACCTGCCTGTCTTCATACAGCCCATGACCTAAGAATGGTTTCTACAGTTTAACATGGTTGAGAAAAATCAAAAGAAGAAAAATATTTTATGTGAAAGTTACATGAAATTCCTATTTCAGTGCCCGCAAGTAGAGTTTTATTGGAACTCAGCCATGGCCACTCATTGACATTACTGTCCATGGCTGGCTGCTCATGCCCGCCCAGATTGCTGCAGCAGAGACCAGGCAGGCTGCACAATAAAACTGACTGGCCCTTTACAGAGGAGCTGGTGACCCCTTTAATAAAAAAAATTTAAAAGACCATCAAGGTTACACGGGGGGGGGCGGGGGGACTCATCCCCCTGGGGGTTAGCGACCTCGGTGAGCACACCTGAGGGTGGGAATGCTCTGGGGGGCGCGGATGACACCCGGGAAGGGCTGGCTGCCTGCTCTGGCATCAGCTTTCATACACGAGTCTATCTCAAGAAGAAGGTGAGTTCCAGTTTCCATGTGTGTGTTTGAACCATCGCTTAACCAGTTCTATGAATGTATGGACTTCAAATAGACCTTTTCCAAGCTTCACAGGTACCCTAGCATTGTTTCCACTTAAAAAACAAACAAATGAACAAAACATGTGCCTCATAAGAAAAACAGAGCAGCATGAAAAGAACAGAAACTTCCAGTAAGCTCACTGCAGTGTTAACCTCTGGACACACCCGTGGGGCACGAACCCCCTGCGGAGTTTTCACACAGAGCTGAACCTCTCTCCAGAGTGGCCCACCAGCTGGACGTCTATTTCTCACCCTTGTGAACACAGAGCATCACAACCTTTTAAAAACCTTCACCAATTTGATAGCCAAAATGGCATTTCACTCATTTTAATTCACTTTGTTACTATCATATGCTTATTGGCCATTTTAATTTTTTGGAGGGAATCAGCCCACATGTCCTTTGCTCATCTTCTTTTTAGGGTGTTACTGATTTACATGGACACCATAACTCTGAAGCCAAGCGGGTGCACCCGTGGCCACCACATCTGCTTTGACTGATTCTGACCCCTCCCCCTTTAATCTTTCCTTTCCTGATGAGGGTTCCAACCGCGGCCTTAAAAGCAGCGTTCCCCTCCCCTTGCCCCCCCGGCTCCCCCCATCTTCTCCCTTCCCCTAAATGTTTTCAAATTCTCTCCAGTAAATGTATTTTATTTTTGTAACTAAGACATGAGTTTAAAAGCCAGAAGAGGGCTGCCCCACCACAGCCAAACCCTCGCCTGCCCTGCCCACACCTCTGGGTGGCCCCGCACATCTGCTTCTCCGTGGCTGGGGATACCTGTACGCGTGCTTGGCTCTCAGCAGCCTGAGGCGGCCCTCGTAGGGAAACATGTCTTCATACTCGAGGAGGAGCCCATTGGCGCCCAAGGCATGGAACAGAGGAAAGACCTGGGGGAACAGGGATGCTATGAGGAAGCAGTCATCTGCAGGAAGGTGACAGACGTGCAACGTGTGAACTGTCTTCCTGCCTGTGGACAAGGGTTATATTTGACATTCACATTACTCCCGGAAACATTTAACCTGGAACGTGTACTTTGTGTTACACCAAATCAAACTCTAACACTGCACCCTGTTCACTCGGCACAGGGTGGGTCTGTACCTATGGAACAGAGCTGTGGCTCAGCCTCATGGCTCAGCCAGGAGGCGGTGAGGGGCTGAGGGTGTGGCGGAGAGTGGGCTGTTCCTGGCTGCGCTCATGGGGCCTCCCCTTGCTCACCCCCACTTCCTCCTCTACCTTTGTGTCAAAGGATATGAATTCCTATCCTCAAGCAGTATCAGGATTGGTCCATGTTTACCATACAGAACTGAGATTTTCTTCTAGTCCGATGTCAAGGCTGTGGTGGAAAAGACATTATGGACGCCACCGGAGGGGCCTCCTGCAGGTATCGAAACAGCAACCCCTCCCCGGACAAGGGTCACTGCAGGTTCCACAAGATTTTAACACTCCTGTTGACGTGTCTGTCAAAGTTTTCCTTTCCCAGGAGTATGGGGACATTCTGAAGCAAGCTGGATGGAAGAAGGAAACAGCCTGGGGCTAAAACTTTACCGTAGACAAGTCAGAATCAGTAGTTTTCTGCAAATTACAAAAAAGAGGCAGACAGACTGGAGTGGAGCGAGCTAATGCAGGCCAGGCATGCGGATAACGCAACATAATGGTCTTGGCATTTTCCCATTTGCTCAGCATTTTTGCTTCTGGTTTGCTTCTCAGCCTCGTGTGGCCATCTGACCACTGCAGCCTGTTTGGCACTTTGGCTGCTGGGGTTGGTGGCGATCCTTTGTGCCATGGGTGGTGAGGAGGCTGTGAGGCCGGGCGGCCCAGCTGTCCCCAGCACATACTCCGGCCCAGTGCTAGGCACGGGGCTGGGATGGAGAGGGTCCTCGCTGTAAAACTGCACAAGCGTGCACACATGTGGGGCATGATACGCTGAGCCTCTTGCATCTGTCGTTGAGACTCGACATCGTTTCCCCTACTTTCCGCTTTTCTGACTGCAGTATTTCTAAGCAAATCCCAGACAACACAACTGTTCACGTATACATACTTCGATATATATCCCTGATGAAGATTTTTTACAAAAGCACAACCACAACACCATTATCCCACTTAACCAAATCTTTAATATCATCCGTGCTCAAATTTTCCTGTGTTTAAAATCTTTTCACATGTGGCTTGTTTGAACCCAGTCCAGTGAAGGTCCATACACTGCATTGTTTGAATGGATCTTTTAAGGTTCTCTGATTTTTAATAGTCCCTTCTGCTTTTTTTAATTTGGAATTTATTTGTTGAAGAAACCAAGTCACTTGTTTTGTATGATTTTCCAAATTTTGGATGGGTGGTATTCTCAAGATGTCCTGTAGCATATTTGCCTATTTCCTACTCTTGTGCGTGCTGGTGGTTAGACATGAAGGGGTGATTGGATCCAGGTGTCATTCTTTTGGCAAGAATACTTCACAGATGGTTCTAGAAGTCACAAGTCTGCCTGCCCCACCGGAGTGATGAGGGGCATCAGCCAGACCCATGCCTCGCACTTCTGCCTAATGGTTTCAGCCACCGCTGACATTCGCACCCCGTGCACTGAACAGGAGCTGCACGGAGGTGACTCTCCAATTATGTGTTGGCTGGGATGCTTCCTTAAGGAGGAATTTACTCTCAGCAATTATTTGGTTACTCCAAATAATTGTGTGATGCTGCAGCAGCTGGTGCTTGTTCTTCAGTAAATTCACTCACTTCTTGGATGTTCACAATAGCTGGCCTGTGGCTTTCACACCCGAAGGTCAGTTTGGTTGGATACAAAATCCTTCAGTATCTTAAATACGTGACTCCCTCGTCTTCGGTCATAAAATGCTGCCATCAAAGTATCTGATGCTGATCTAATTATCCTTCCCTCATACAGAACTTGTACCTTTTTCCTGTGTGCCCAAGAGTTGTTCATTTTCATTTTCTTTGAAGTCTCATACATTTACTGAAAGATTTACTTAGCGTCTATCATCTTCGATATACGGTATGCCTTTTCTTTTTTTTTAAAATTTATTTATTATTTGAGGGAGAGAGTGAGAGAGCACATGAGTGGGGGAAGGGGCAGAGGGAGAGGGTCTCAAGCAACCCCCCTGCCCAGAGTTTGGAGACTGACTCCAGGCTTGATCCCACAACCCATGAGATCATGATCTGAGCTGAAACCAAGAGTCAGACGCTCAGCCGACCGAGCCACCCAGGCGCCCCAGGTATGCCCTCTCAACATGCAGATCCAAGTATTCTTAAATTTCAGGACAGTGTTTCTGTAGTTTCTGAGCATTTGTCCTACAGCATTGCTTTGGTTCTCTTCTTGGGGGACTCTTGCAAACTGAAAACAAGCCTACGATACAGTGCCTTCCTCATCAAGAGGTGGTGTCTATTCACAGTCTTGAATCTGGGCTGACTTTAGACTTGCTTTCCAAGAGGAGCACTAGGCCGAGGAAGGCTTGCGGCTTTGGCTCCCATGCTCTCAAAGCAGTCGTGTGACGGCCACACTGGGAGAGGCTGGCCTAGCCTCTGAGAGGACAGGCGCCCACAAGGAGGACTAGAACCCAGGTGTCCACTGGACAGCCAGCACTGACTGCTGGACATGTGAGGCCATCTTGGACCATCAGGTGTTCCTAGTTGTCAGGAGACTGCCAACAGCGGAGGGAGCCCAGGGTGGACCAGCAGAATCACCCACCAGCCCATGGAAACAGAAGGAATGGTGAATTGCTGTCTTAAGCCTCAAAGTTTGGGGCAGTTGGCCCCCCAGCAGCAGAGAGCTGAGGGGGCTCCAGGTGTAGGTGAGTTGGACCTTCTTTGCATTTGTCAGAATGCTTTTTATCTCTTCACGTGTGACATTCTCTTTTTCCTTATTTATTTCCCAACAGTATGCTTTCCATGGCGTCTGCTCACTTCTGTTCTTCTGCTTTAGTCTGTTTTTTTGGCCACAGGCTCCCTCTCCTTCCTCCGCATCCCTGCTCCCCGTATTAGAACCTTTTCTCTGCTTTACTTCCAATGTTCCTGTCCAGTTCCCCATGGATTCTCTCAACACTGTGTTCTTAATGTGGGGCTCGGTCTTTCTAGAAGTTTCCGAAGGTATTTCTGAGAGCCTTAGGCCTCTCCAGCATCTTCTTCTGAGTCTTTTTGCACTCACTCTCAAACTGCCGCCAGTGAAACCTCTCCCCCATTCCTCTCGACAGAGGACCTGTGTTTGTGGGCCTGTTTTCTGTCTTCTGGTCTTGGCCCTGTCAGAACTCCTTCCTCCCTCCTCCATCACCTCCTGCCTGGCACCTAATCCCATGTGGGTGGTATGCTGTACCACTCGCATTTGGGGATTCACGGGGATATCTGCATACCTACCTTGAAGAGTGTACTGGTTTTCTAGGGCTGCTGTAACAAATTACCACAAACTGGGTGGCTTAATACAATGAGAATTTATTCTCTTCCAGGTCTAGGGTCAGAAATAAAAATATCAGGGTGTGGGCAGGGCAGTGCTCTCTCTGAAGGCTCCAGGGAAGAACCCTTCCTTGCCTCTTCTAGCTTCTGGTGTTGCTGGCAGTCCTGGCATTCCTTGGCTTGTAGATGCATCCCTCCAATCTCTGCCTCTGTCCCCACAGGTGCCCCCCCGTGTCTAAATATCCCTCTCCTGGGGCGCCTGGGTGGCTCAGTCGTTAAGCGTCTGCCTCCGGGTCATGGTCCCAGGGTCCTGGGATCGAGCCCCGCATCGGGCTTCCTGCTCAGCGGGAAGTCTGCTTCTCCCTCTCCCACTCCCCCTACTTGTGTTCCCTCTCTTGCTGTCTCTCTGTCAAATAAATAAAATCTTAAAATAAATAAATAAATATCCCTCTCCTTTTTTTTTTTTAAGATTTTATTTATTTATTTGACAGAGAGAGAGAGTGAGCACAAGCAGGGGGAGCGGCAGGCAGAGGGAGAAGCGGGCTCCCTGCTCTGCGGGACTTGATCCCAGGACTCTGAGATCATGACCCGAGCCAAAGGCAGACGCTTAACCAACTGAGTCAGCCAAGTGCCCCTAAAATTCCCTCTTCTTATAAGGACATCACTCACTGGATTAGGACTATCCTACTCCAATACAGCCTCATCTTATGTTGATTATAATTGCAAAGACTCTGTTTCCAACTGAGGTTACATTCATAGGTACGAGTAGCTAAGATTTGAACATTATCTTTTTGGGAGACACAATTCAGCCCACAACAAAGAGGCTGTGGGTCTCCTTTGTTGTGTTCCCCCCTCCCCCTGCCCCCTTTTGCTATCCTTTTGCAACTGCTCTGTTTTATGAAGAGATTTGGGGGGAAACTCAAAATCTATGCTGCCGCCAACATCATGCCCCTGCCTAGAACCCCAGGGTTGCACTCTAAGCACACATTTCTACAGAATACTGTTCACAGCTTTGAAGACCAAACCCAAGGCAAGGGAGATCATCTAGAGGGAAAGGGGCTCTTACCTCAGAGAGGTAGGAAACCTTTGGTGGAGCTCCTTTAAGGTCCAAATGAACTAATCGCATCTTAAATGGTGAAGAACCTGACATTTCACTATTTTTCATGAAGTCATATAACAAAAATCTCTTGTCTGGGCACTTCTTCCTAGTGGAGAAATTCAAAGTTATAAATGGGCAGAGGCCCCTTTTAGCCCTTGCCCTTCCACTCTGTGTTTCCATTCCCACACGCCCAGGTTTGCTTTATTCACTGGGAGGAAAACTCATTTCACCAACATGAAAATGAATCAAGAAGTCTACCTCATGCTCAAATAGTGTTCAAATAGAGGGACCTCTGCCATTTAATTATTATTTGCCCCTAAAATAGAATAGCACTGGTTTCCTCATAAGATGGCTATGATCTATAATAACACAAATGACTGCAAAATAATTTTGTTTTAAAGACTGTCTTAAGTTGTGCATACTATGCTAGTGAAAACAGGCAGATATATATAAACATCTTTCACGTCTTACAATGTTTCTGTAGAAAATTTATCCTTAATTTTATTTTACTTTCAAGAGCAGTAAAAATACTTTACATTTCTAGAGCTCAAATCAGCTTAGTTGTACGGAAAAAGAAACTAAAAATTTAGTCTAAGTCAGAGAAAACTGTCTAGGATTTAAAACAGACCGCTGATAATTTGAAAAGCAAATGAGCCACGAGTACATCAGGGCTAACTAGCTTCTATTAAAGTAAAGGAAGTGTCTGGATGACAGTGAGGCAGCTGGGAAAGAGTGCAATCTTCCCCCCCCCCCCCCCGCTATTATAAAAACACAAAGGATAGGATGAGAAAAGTGAAAGAAAATCTTTGCATATTGGTCACGTTTACAGCTCAGTAATTCAAACTACTCATTCTGTGTGAGGACTCATAAATCCCTGACCTTAAGAAGTCTATTATAAAGCAGGAAAGATAAAATAGACGCACACAGAAACCAGATTTTTTTTTTTAAGAAATTATATTCAAAACTATCTCAATGACAAAATTCTCAAGGCAATTACCTAAATTACCAGCTGATGGGTGCATGAGTTTTGTGAAAACGCATTTTGAAAACTGCTTTTAAAGCTGAATTGTTTAGGGACGCCTGGGTGGCTCAGATGGTTAAGCATCTGCCTTCGGCTCAGGTCATGATCCCAGGGTCCTGGGATCGAGCCCACATCGGGCTCCTTGCTCCGCGGGAAGCCTGCTTCTCCCTCTCCCTCTGTCTGCCTACTTGTGATTTCTTTCTCTCTCTCTCTCTGTCAAATAAATAAATAAAATCTTAAAAAAAAAAAAGCTGAATTGTTTAAAAATCTCACAAGCCAAACCTATTTTCCAGGGACTAGGCTCAAACACTTCCAGGCTGAGAAGTGTGCACTGGTGCTGTGAACACCCCCTCGTACTCAGAGAGAAACCTGCTCCCGCGGCTGCATCGCTGGGCTAAGAGGGATGCTGACATCTTACCTGCGGCAGACGCACTGGCTTAACAGCGTTAGGTCTCCGCAAAATCTAAAGGAAAAGAACCAGAGAAGTCCCTGTTTCACTTGTCACGCGTGTGCTAATCTCTCTGCTCGGATTCCCTCCTGCACCGAGTCTGCAGAGATGGGCTTATTCCGAACCCCTGGGTGGGAGGTCACTACTTACCAGACGAACGGCTCAGGGCTCGGGCGGAGGCCAAGAGCGCCTGCAGGCGATGACCCGCACTGGTCTCCCCCGCGCCAGGGGCGCTGCGCAGCCCTCTTCAGTCCGACGATCGCACCAACGCTTTCTTTCCGCTGTACCATCAGCAAGCTACTCGCCGTCTTCAGGCTCACGCCTCCCGGATGCACCTCACCGTTCCCCCCTCCAGCCTCAGGCGTCCCGACACGGCCGGTTAAGTTTGCTCCTCATGCACAGGACGGACGTTCTGTAGGGAAACGGAAAGCTATCACAGCAGCGCGGCCTTCGGGAGACAGGCGCGGGCTGAGCACCAGCTGGTCCCAGCACCCGCGGGTGTGGCGCAGACCCGAGCGCAGCCAACCGACCCCGGGATAAGGGCTCGGAGACCCCAGCAGACGAGCCTGGCGAGCCCCAAGAAGAGCCCTGGGACCTGGGCATGGGGGTCCTGAGACCCGGGAGGAGACGACGACTTGGAGACCCCGGCAAGAGGGCGCACGCTGCGGGAGAGGACGCACCTCAGGCCGCAGGTCCCGAGGCTCGGCGAGTTCCGAGGGCGGGGGGCGGGCGGCGCGGCGCCCTGCGGAGTGCGCGCCCGGGTCCGCGCCCCGCCCCGCCCGGCTCGGCGCTCGGCCTCCGATTGCTCGGGCCTGGCCGCCAGACCCGGGCCGACGGTCGAGTGCGTCGCTCTGCGTCCCCGGCAGCGCCGGCCTCGCGCAACCTCTCGCGGCGCTCGTCCCGGCTCGCGGCGGCTCCCGCGTCCCGCCCGCTTCCGCAGAGGCCTGGCCCGATGGCGCCTCAGCGGAGGGGCGCGCCCAAGGCTCCCGAGGGCAGCGGGCCGGCCGAGCGCCGGCGCCCGAGCAGGTACCGGACGGCGCGGGGAGGGGCGAGCTGCGGCGGCGGGCGTGGCGTGGCCGCGCGGCGGGCGTGGCCAGACCAGGGGGCGTGGCCTATGGGGGCGTGGCCGCAGAGTCGTGCTGCGCGGCCGCGGCTCGGGGTTGGGACTCCGGACGGGAACTCGGGGCGGGAGTCCTTCCCTGACCCGGACCCTGTGTGCAGAGGGCTCCGCGGCCGGCCTCCCGACGCGGGCGTGCTCCGAGGCCCCGTCGTGTCGTCCCTGTGCGCTGTCCTTAGGGCTCTGTATAGGAGGGCCGTCGGATGGGTGGCCCGATGAATGAATAAGGGACCGTCCCATCGCGTAGCCTTGCAGGGGGTTCTTCCTAAAGCTCTCAGAGCCAGGGTGTGTTTTCATCGCTCCAGGAAAAATCACTGGGCCCCAGTGCTTGCCCAGCGGCCATGGACCTTGCTCTGAGACTTGGAAAGCAGGCCCCTTCTGTTCTGGCGAGATTCTCTGGGTGCAGCTTGAGCCAGCTTGCTCCCAACAGGGTGCTCCCCTTGAGCAGACCTCGAGGGGAGTGTTGCATCTGAATCTGGCCGAAGATGCAGTTTCTTCATCTTTTGTGTCTCTGTGCGTGTGTCGTCGTCGTCGTCCCCCCTCCCCTTCCCCCCCCCACCCCGTCCCTTTCAGATTCCACAGCCGCACTGTGGGGAGAAGGGTCCCCAGCAACTCTGCCTTGTCCGGCAGGGTGCCAATCATTTGCTGCTGAGATGGGCTGGCAGTCTCCCTGCCCTGTCTGGAATTTCGGGAGGAGGGAAATGATGGGCCTGCTGGTGTCAGGTGTCCACCCTGGTCTAATTATGGAAGGCTGGGTGGCCTGGAGGCTGGACAGCAGTTCTAGGGGTGGGGAATCTTTTTGAGTTGGGCAGAGCCCCCCTTCCCCTTCAGGTGTCTATGATCCCTGTTTAAAATGATCAGGTATCCACTCAATGTGGTCTGACCATGCTGTGCCCTCCTTGGGATTTATTTATTGGAATTTGTTTTATTCATATAGCACTGCAAAGAGTTGAGGGACATAAAAATAGAAGTCAGACTCCCTGCTTTTCAGGAATTAATCGCATACTTGAAGAAACAGGGCACACCTCCTTAAAAGAGTGCCTTGATCTTTTTTCTTTCTTTTTTTTTTTTTAAGATTTTTATTTATTTATTTGACAGAGAGAGACACAGCAAGAGAGGGAACACAAGCAGGGGGAGTGGGAGAGGGAGAAGCAGACTTCCCGCGGAGCAGGGAGCCCGATGCGGGGCTCGATCCCAGGACCCCGGGATCACGACCTGAGCGGAAGGCAGACGCTTAACGACTGAGCCACCCAGGCATCCCTTTTTTCTTTCTTTTTTTGCGAGTTCTTTGAGCCCTACAGTCACCAAGTCTTTCCTAGACAACAGTAGACAGCTTCCCGTTTACACAGGTGCACACAGACAGCCGCACCCACGGGCACATACATGGGTACAGATGTGCACACACATGTGCATGCAACTTCAGCCCTGGCGGTGAGAAGTGTAGTTACCCAGGTTGTGCAAAAAGTGTCTTAATTGTACATTGTTTTCACTGTGCTTATCTTCTCGGCTGGCTTGTGGTTTTAGTGAAGTGGGTTTGACTCACACTTAGTTTGTGTCCTGTGTGTGGGCATGGGCCCTGGTACATGGTTCGGGGCAGTCAGTTTCAGTTGCAGGCAATGTGATTGGCAGCACAGATTCGGGTTCTCCGTGGGCCTGGAGGGACACTGACTGGCAGCTCACCTTGTTCCCAGCACGGGTCAGATGGGGCTGGGGGCCTTCTTCCCCAGCACGTCCTCTCAGGCTGCCGAGTGCCCCTGGATTGGCTGAGAGCAGCTCTGACCTCCGTTACTGCAGAACAGTGTAAGACTTGCTGTAACCAAGTGTGGGTGCGGTCCCTGGTCATCATGGTCTGTCTTCTCAGCACACACGGGTGCCTTTGGGTGACGGCGGTTGTGTTTTGTCCTCAGCACCAAGAGTGTCCGGGCCCCGCGGGAGGTGCCGAGGAAGTGGCTGAGAACCGCCATCCCGGGGGCCTGCGCCGTGCTTGCTGGGCTGCTGCTCTGGGGCAGTCTGAGGGGTGATGGTGGCGTCACTGAGGTCCTGGCTCACCGTGGCGAGATGCTACCAGGCAGGTTCATCGAGGTGCCCTGCTCAGAGGACTATGACAGTCACCGAAGGTTTGAAGGTAGGCGATGCTGCTGCAGTCCGGGAAAGAGCAGCACGTCAACATGGAACGCGCTGTGTCTGAGATGTGTCCGTGTTCTGCTGCAATGAATTGGTGGGAATCAGATTGAAAGTGGGCGGGGGCCGGGGGGTATGGGCGAACTTTCCCTCCTTCAGGTGGGTTAACCCACACCTGGACTGGGAAATGCAGGGGCAGGCCTGCCGGTCACCGAGGCTAACATTTTACCGAGGTGCCCTGCACTCTGCTGGAGAGACAGTTTGCCTGGAGGCACACAACGGAATTGGAAAGGTAAGGAAGAGAAAGCTGAAATGAGAAAGGTCTTTGGCTATAGAGTGTTATAGAGTGTTGTCGCTGCAGAAAATGTTGCAACAAGAAATGTCACTAATGGGGACGCCTGGGGGGCTCAGTCGTTGAGCGTCTGCCTTCAGCTCAGGTCATGGTCTCAGGGTCCTGGGATCGAGTCCCGCATCGGGCTCCCTGCTCAGCGGGAAGCGTGCTTCTCCCTCTGCCTGCCACTCCCCCTGCTTGTGTTCTCGCTCTCTCTCAAATAAATAATAAAATCTTATAAAAGAAAAAAAAAGAAATGTCACTACCAGAAGCCCTTCCCCAGGTCGAGTGTCCCATGCCGGGGGGGGGGGGGGGGCAGGAAGGCAGGAGGGGGCGTGGTACCCAGAGGCGCCCATTGGGTTCGGCACCCCGGAGAGCCCAGGACCTCAGTGCCAGTGGGCTTTAATTTCTCACACATTCCTCGCTGCTGGGCACTTTCTCCGTTTTAAAAACCTAGCCTGCACGACTGTCTTAAAGACAGAATTTTGTTCATTTTTTCATTGAGAGTAGTGCTCTGGACTGAACTGGAAGAAGACTGCCCAGTGCTTCCACTGAGTGGCGCCCGCGGGCCAGGGCTCCACCTCCCTTGCCCGTGTGGGTGCCCTCCCTGTCTCCCTCAGCCTTTCCCTCTCCTGTCCCAGCTTCCAAGAAAGTATTTCTCTGCAGTTAGAGCTGAAGTTTCTCTTCTCACGCACTTAATAATTTAGCAACACTAAAAGTTTGCACAAGGGGGTGGGGGGATTGGGAGTTGTTATTATTTAGCAATGTGGGGTTCCAGTTTGGGAAGCAGAAAAAATCCTGGAGACGAATAGTGATGATGTTGGCACAACACTATGAGTGTAAAATGGTAAATTTTGTGTTATGTATATTTCCACAATACCAAAAAATAGTTGAGGTCTATTTAAAGCTTCTGGACTTCTCTCCTGCCCCTCAAGCTGGAGGGGCTTCTACTTTGGGCAAGGGGCTCCTGATGAGACAGAGGCTCGACCCCTGTGGGGGTGTCTGGACAGAGCACCGCACCGTGTGTGTGTGGAGTGTGTGCTTGCCCTGATAAGTCAACCATCCAAAATTCACTTTTTCACCCAAATTATACTCTTGACCCTTACTCATGTTGAACACTCTGTTCCTACTGGGTTTCAGCATTTCAAAATTCATGGGGTTTTGGTTCTCTCTTTTTAAAAATCAGTTTCTAGGGCGCCTGGGTGGCTCAGTTGGTTAAGCGACTGCCTTCGGCTCAGGTCATGATCCTGGAGTCCCTGGATCGAGTCCCACATCAGGCTCCCTGCTCGGCGGGGAGTCTGCTTCTCCCTCTGATCCTCCCCCCTCTCATGCTCTCTCTATCTCATTGTCTCTCTCAAATAAATAAATAAAATCTTTAGAAAAAAAAAATCAGTTTCTAACCTAATTGCCTTGTAGCTCAATAATATATAATCTGTATGATATAGGTCCTTTGATATTGGCTCAGACTTTCTTTTTTTTTTTAAGATTTTATTTATTTATTTGACAGAGAGAGACAGCGAGAGAGGGAACACAAGCAGGGGGAGTGGGAGAGGGAGAAGCAGGCCTCCCGCCGAACAGGGAGCCCGATGCGGGGCTCGATCCCAGGACCCTGGGACCATGACCTGAGCCGAAGGTAGACGCTCAGACTGAGCCACCCCGGTGCCCCTGGATTTTTTTTTTTTAAGATTTTTATTTTAATTGAGACACAGAGAGAGAGAGAGTGCACAAGCAAGGAGGAGGGGCAGAGGCAGAGAGAGAGGGAGAAACGGGCTTCCCGCTGAGCAGGGAGCCCAACTCGGGGCTTGATCCCAGGACCCCGGGATCATGACCTGAGCTGAAGGCAGACGCTCAACCTGTGGAAGGCACGGCCCCACAGAGTTCCCCTGGGGAGGGCCACCTATAGGTAAGTCCTCAACAGATTCAGCATGGGGTCAGCATCTCCTTCTGGCTCCTCTCTCCCCAGGCTGCTCGCCCAGGAAGTGTGGCCGGGGCATCACTGACACTGTCATCACCAGGGACGAAGCCCAGCGGATTCGCAGGTACCCAAGCCTCTTCTGTCCCGAACAAATGGGAAAGTGGGGCTGCAGGACAGGAAGCAGACGGTTTTTACTAAAAAAGCAACGTAAAGAAATTCATTTAGAATTCCTAAGCATTTCTTGCGTGCCTCCAAGGGCAAAAGCAGGCTTCTCCAGTTTCCAGGAGCAAAGGGTGTTCCCCTCAGGGATGCTGCTGCTGCCGCTGGAACCCGCCGAGGCCCAAGCCCTCTTCAGGGGAAGTGGGTCTGACCTGGATAGGAGGTCTAGGAGATGCTGCCTCCTCAGCTGTTGGGGAGACTGTGCGTGCCCTGTGCAGACGTGCCCCCTGCAACAGGGGCTCACAAGAGAGCGGTGCAGTCTCTGTGCCTAAGCTGGCTGGGCATTAGCCCTTGGGCCGACCAGCCGTGACTGGCGTCGGGGCAGGAAGTCTTACTCAGATGCAGCCAACACTGGATTTTTCTTTGTTGGGATTTTAAAAACAAGATCTTAAAGCTTTGATTTTGCAACAAATTGTTCAGACACGAGAGCTGTTTAGACACAGGTGCAAGGTGGAGCGGCGTCTGCCCTCAAGCTGCCTTCAGCCTATGTCCCAGCTGCCCGTCCCAGCAGGGAGACGCTCCTCCTGTTTCTAGATAGCAGTGTAGGGGCTCGTTGGGCAGGAGTCACTGGAGTCGGGTTGACCCATCCCCAGGGACCCAGTGGGAGTAGCTCAGCCCATTTGGGTGGACACCAGCTCTTGGTGCTAAAGATGGAAATTAAGCCTACTTGTTTCTCATCTGTCATATTTAATTAACAAGATGGTGAGGAAATATTACCATTTACTCATTTAGCTTTGAAAATTGAGTCCTTTGGTCTGAACATGTGTTTATGTTGCAAATATTAAACAATCTATTAACATTACATGAATCATGCTGGTTATTTGCCTAGATATACCACAGAGAATTCTACTAACTAAATCCTGAATATAATGACCTTCCCCCACAGCATAGCCGAGAAGGGGCTGTCCCTGGGAGGATCTGACGGAGGGGTGAGTTCCTGCTTCAGTTTTCTTTCTGCCCCTTTAACTTGCTGTCCGTCCAGGAGCAAGGAGGTGTCCCCCCACATCGCCAGTGTGGACAGGCCACATTCAGGGGGCACAAGAGTGTCCCCGCTCTTCACAGGGAGTTGCAGCAGCCTGCTCCAGATCTGGGGCCCCCGCTGGGGGCAGGCGGATCTGGTCTCAGACAGTGAGCTGACAGAGGGTGAGTTAGGAGCCCAGTGAGGAGGGTGGCCAGCCCTGGAAGCGGGAGGGGCTCCTGGGACACGGTGACACACATGCTCCCCAGCCTCCAGGCTGGAGGCCCCACAGACACGGTGTGGGCACTGTCATCCATGTGTGTGAGAGTGCAGGGGCCCAGTGGAGGGGGGGACGTCCCAGGGGATCTCATAAACAGTGCGTCCACCCAGAACCTGGGGATAAGACCTTATTTGGAAAAGGGGTCTTTACAGATGCCATGAAGTTAAGGGTCTGAAGATGAGGTCATTCTGGATTGGGGTGGGCCCTAAATCCAATGGCAAAAGTGTCCTTATGCGAGAGAGGCAGAGAGAGACTTGTGGAAGAGGAGAAGCCGCAGGAAGACAGAGGTGGAGGGATGCAGCCATAAGCCAGGGGACCCCTGGAGCCACCAGAAGCTGGAAGAAGCAGGAGGAGTCCTCCCTTAGAGCCTTCAGGGGGAGCGTGGCCCTGGCCACACCTTGATTTTAGGATCTCTGGCTTCAGTAGCTGTGAGGAGACAAATTCGGTTAGTTTGAGTCCCCGGTCTGTGGTGATCAGTCACAGCAGCTGCTGGGCCAGGGCAGCCCTGTGCCTCATCTGCCTCCTGGGCAGCGCCTGGGGTCCTGTTCTTATGAGCACCACACATTAGCTTGCATTTCCCTGTGGTGTCCTGAATGTGGGTCTCCACCCAGCGTGTGAAGCTGTGGAAGATAGTCTTCTCTGCATTGTTTGGCGATGGCTGAATTATCGCCATTACGCAGACCCGGATCGGTCTACATGTTTGAAAGTCCTGGGAAGATTAGTTTATGGACTTTGCTAGAATTTCTAAGTATCTCTATGATTATCTGCATGACTTTATTTTATTCTGCAAAATTTCCCCCAGAGTTCTGAAAATTAAGCTCCTTTTATTTCAGTTTGGTTTGAATCAGGGGTAGCATTTATTAAAAACCCATTTGTGCATGGACTCATCTCTTATTCTTTGTTGGGCATTCCCAGGAAGTTGTCTTGCAGCAAAGAAACCAGATTTGATGCCTTTAAGTTCAGTTAACATTTATTAAGCTCAAATTATGTTCAAACCCCTGGGCTGATCACTGCACCAATTAGGAGAAATATAGTAGCTTCCAGATAGCGTAAAAATGGTCCCTGCTGGTGACCACTTTTCCCGAATGGGGCGGAAGACCCACAGAGGTGGGGTGGGCAGGGGTGCAGAACACTTTGACGGTGTTTTAGAAAGTAGGACCCAGCAATTCCACTTCTGGGGATTTACCCAAGAGAATGAAAGCATCTGTCCACACAGACTTGTCTGCCAGTGTTCAGGGCGGCTTAATTGGTAATAGCCCCAAACTGGAAACAACCCACATGGTTGTGTTACCCCAAACCATGGAGTGTCCTCAGCAATAAGATGGGATGGATGTCTGTGGACACAACAGCATGAGCGAATCAGAGTGGTGATGCTGAGCAGCAGGAGACCCAGAAAGAGTGCATCCCACATGATTACATTCACATACAATTTTAGAAAATGTGCATCAGTCTGTGACGGTAGGAAGCACATCGGTGGTTGCCTGGGTGGGGAGGAGTCGGGGGAGAGAGGCAGGATGGCAGAGGGTACGAGGACATTCTGGGATGTGGTTGTTATCTTGATGGTGATGGTGGCTCACGGGTATGTGACATCAAAGCTTATCAAATTGGGCAGCTCATCTGTCCCTTACACCTCAACAGGGCTGAAGGAGCGAGGGTGGGCGGGGTGTGATTCAGCTGCAGGAGTTCACAGGTCTGTGGACCGTTTTCAGAAAATCAGACTGGGCGGGAGAGAATGAGATCTGTCCTGTACATACCCTGGGTCCCCTGTCTTGAAACCCGGCATGGCCTCCCGGTCCCAGGGTGAGGGTGGGCTGGACCTCAAGGCCCCTGCCGCCCTGTGCTCGTCTTTTCCAGGCATCCGTCTTGGACTTGCACTCGGGGGCCCTGTCTGTCGGGAAGCGCTTTGTGAATCTGTACAGGTGAGAGCCCTGAGGGGCTGCAGCCCTCCCTGCACCCCTGTGCATTTCTTAGCTGGAACTGGGGGTATGGCCCTTCTCAGGGGGCGGGATCCTTGTTCACCAGCTGCAGGGAACAGCCTGGGGCTCCATCGGAGGCTTCTCCGGGGCCTTCTCCGGAAAGCGGGACCTTCCTGAGGCCGAGGGGCAGCCAGAGGGAGAGGTGGGAGGGGTGAGAGGCTGGCCAGGCCCTCAGGAGAGCGGGAGAGTCCGGTGGGACTCCGATCCTCCCTGAGGCCAGAGAAGCAGAGATTCTCCCAACCTTGGTGCTCACATTGACTTCGGTCCCTTTAATCACGTGGTTATCGCTGGAGAAACAGAGATCAGCACCCAGGAGGAAAAAACGAAGCTAAAGGAAGTGGGGAAAAGATTCAGAGATTATAATAAAGCGTTGACAACAGACGTCCAATGAAACGTTACATTTGTTAACAGCCTATTTTTTCACAGATACTTTGGAGATAAAATACAAACCGTCTTCTCAGAAGAGGACTTCCAGTTGTACAGGTGAGGAGGAAAGCGGTCATGACGTCAGACGTGGAGGCAGGGGGCGCAGGCTGAGTGGGGAGGGCGGAGGGTCGGTGCCGCGGGAGCCCCGCCCAGCCAGGGGCAGAACCCAGGCGCGCCACGCCCATCAGGGCCACGCCCACCCAGCTGCAGGGCCACGCCCACCAGCCCCTGCTCAAGGGCCTAGGCCACGCCCCAGGCTAGGCCACACCCACCCACCCTCTGCAACCGTGCCCACCCATCTTCACCCCGCCCACCAGCCCACGCCACGCCCCTGGGCACGCCCACTTGTCCGAACCCACCGTGATCACGCCTTCCCCGACCCTGCCCATCCCACCACAGCACCGAGTCCATGCCCGTTGACCACGTCCACCCACCCAACCCTTGCCCTCAAAGACTACCACCCGGCCATACCCATCTGACCACTACCTCTCCAGACCACGCCCGCCCCGTGTCCACCCCAGCTGAAGGCTTGTGCATGTCCCTGGGGTATGTGCCACAGCCCCTGGCTTGTCGTGGGCACGTTGTGAGCAGAGGGTCTCACGAAGGCTGAAATGCACAGTTCACTTTACAGAGTCCGGGCAGGTGGACCCAGGGGTGGTACCTCTCTGCCCTGGGGGCCAGGCCAGGGAACCCATGGACCGCATGAGCGTCCCCAGAAATACTGAAGGGAGGGGGCTTGTCTGGTTGGCCTCTTCTCCCAGCTCCGTGGTTTTTCTCCTTCCCTGACACTCTGTGCAGCCAGGGCCGACTGGCAGAAAGTACTAGAACAGCTGTGAGTGTTACACTCTGCACTAGCGTCCAGATCGCTTCGGGCTAGCTGGTGGTGCACAGGGCAGCCCCTGCCTCAGTCGCTGTGGGTCCAGCCAGGCCATCGAGCCCACACGACCCTGTGGCAGGAGCAGGCCCGTGGAGGCCTCGTGCGCCCCCCGTCTGTCCAGGGCTGCTCCCTGCCCCTCGCAACAGCTCACGTGGAGGGAGGCAGAGCCAGCCTCAGCGGGTCCAGCAGCTCTTGCAAGAGCCCCACGAGCAGCCCAGGGTGCTGCAGGGGGCCGGACCCTCTCAAGTCACACCACACATGCTGGCGCCAGGAACGGCCCTCCTGCCCTGACAGCGCCCCTCACTGGGGAGTGGCTTTCTTTAATTAAAACTTATAATTTTTAGATAATCAAGACTCACAGACTGTTTGGGGAAATAACACAGGGCGATCCCATGTACCCTGCACCCAGTTTCCCCCAATGGCAACAAGTTGGTGTGAGCAGAGCAGGGCATCGCCCCCAGGAACCGGCCCCAGTGCTGCCCCCACCGTCTTGCTCAGAATCCCTGGTTCTACCTTATTTGTGTGAGTGTGTGCAATTCTGTCCCCTGGGTTGGTCATGTAAGGGCTGCCAGTCACGGTACCAAGCGTCTCGTCGCCATGCGGACCCCCACGTTGCCCTTCTGTCCCCTCGGCCCCGGCACCCGTCCCTGACCAGCAACCAGCAGGCCCATTGCTACCGTAGCCTCGAGGCCTGGAAACAGCTGCTGCTTCCCTTTGGTGATGTTTCCAGGGAGACAGCCGGGCTCCTGGTCCAGAGAGAAGCGAAGGGTCGGGGTGAACTTGACCTGCAAATTGTAGCAGCAGTGAGCGGTGCCCTTGACCCCTGCCACGCGCTAGTGACCTCACTGGGTCGGCCCTGAAGTCTGGGCCTGGAGCGAGGCCGGGTTTCGCAGCACAAAAGGGCCAGGTGACCAGCGGTGCAGGAGCCTGGTCTGCAATCACCCCGTGACTGGTTTACTGTGTTTACGGTGTTTACTGTCAAGTGAACAGCGTGCATCAGTATTTTAATGTTCGTAAGTTCAAGGCTCTATGAAACGTAAAAACGATCACCACGGATGAAGGGAAAATAGCGGATTTGTGTCTCATTCGAGTGCGAGCCTGCAGAGAGGAAGGGGTGTCGATCCAACTGCGGTCGGGGACAGTGGTTGCGCAGAGAACCCAGGGAGAGTCGCACGTATGGAACAGAGTTTGTATTTCTGGAGTGAAAACCCAGTTGGCTGTTGAACCAAGAAGGGTGAGCGCCGTTGCCGGGCACGTGGGTGCTGGAGGAGGCGGCTGCCAGGAGGCATGGAACGCAGGCTTCATCAGGACGTTCGCTGTGTTCCACCAGAGCTGAGGGTTTAATAAATGAGACTGGTAGTTATCAATGAGGAAAAATGGAAGGAACCAATTAGTTTCACACAGTAAAACAATTATTAAAATAATAACTGGGGCGCCTGGGTGGCTCAGTTGGTTAAGTGTCCCACTCTGATTTCAGCTCAGGTCATGATCTCAGGGTTGTAGGATTGAGCCCGGCATTGGGCTCCGCGCGCAGCAGGGAGTCTGCTTGAGATTTTCTTTCCCTCCACCCTTCCTCCTGCTCGCATCAGCTCTCTCTCTTAAAATAAAAAAACCTTTAAAAAAATAATCATAGGGCGCCTGGGTGGCTCAGTCGTTAAGCGTCTGCCTTCGGCTCAGGTCATGATCACAGGGTCCTGGGATCGAGTCCCACATCGGGCTCCCTGCTCGGCAGGAAGCCTGCTTCTCGCTCTCCCACTCCCCCTGCTTGTGTTCCTGCTCTCGCTATCTCTCTCTCTGTCAAGTAAATAAATAAAATCTTTAAAAAAAAATAATCATAATAATAACCCAATCACTAAAACTTCTCAAAATAGATTCTCAAATAGTGTTGCCAAGGAAATGGCAGTTTTAGAGGGTAACGTTGGAATCTTTTTTCTAACTTTGTCTATTCTGTTGTTAAAAATAATTGAGCATTCTGAGACATGACAAGAGTATTACCAGCATGAGATCTCAGCCTGATCTCATTTATGGTCTAGATCGTCACAGAACATTTCTGCTGGACCAAGAGAGCGAGGTTTGGGGACTCTCGAGGCCATGGCGATGTCATGGTCAGAAGAGCTGCCTGTCTCCCACGAAAGCATTCTGATAATTCACACAAAATACAAAATGCTCCGCTCTGTGTGTCTTGTGAGCTGGAAGGAAAGCTTTGAGGTTGGCTTTATGGTTAATGTTCAGGGTGAGAAATTCCCGGAACTCCACCTCGGGTTATTACAGAGGTGGTCAGTGTGACCCTGGGAGCAGGGCTCCTGCCGCCCTCGGTGCCACGTCCACGTGGTTTCGTCGGACTCCCAGCCATCTCTGGACGTGCTGAAGGTAAAACGTCAGTTTGTTTCCCGTCTTTTCTGGCTGTCATCTGTCTGCTGACCTCAGGGAGGGTGTGCAGCGTGACATGCAGTGGCCGGAACTGAAAACCGGAGGACTGTCCGGGGCGGGCCCCCGCGAGCCCAGAAGGAGCACCATCACCTCATTAGTGTGCCATCCACAGAGTGTGTGGTTTGATGACAGAGTGAAGGAATACCATGAGCCTCTAAGTTCTTTCGGTTCGTTGAACTGGGACATTTGGCTCAACACTGTTGGCAAAGCTTTGCGCGTTGAAGGTGAACAAAGATGAAGACAACAAAGCCCACTAAAAATTCTGACATTCTCAGAAGTAGTTTTTCTGACTTGGCTGATAAGAGCTGCTGAGCGCACACGTATCTCCTACCCCGTTGAAGGGTTAGAAGCATTCTGAGTGTAGTTGTTGGCCCAGCAGAAGTTCCGTGAACATCGCTGATGGTAGAGTCCTTGCTCTACTTACTGAAATGAGTCTAAGGGGGTCCCAGGAAAAGTTTGGTGTGCCCCCAGTTGGCGCCCTGCGGAATGGGGGCACCCTTTGGCTAGTGGTGTGCCTGTTGAAGCATCGGCCGGTGGTTTGGAGATGTTGGAAGGATACCCTGTTGTGCTGGAGCTACATTGTTTGTGGGGCTAGAGCTAGCTCCGCACGTGTGCACAGGGGTACGTGGGCAGGCCCCTGAATGTGTAGGTGCGTGTGGGCGTGTACCTGAGTCTCGCAGACTTGGGCATATGTAGGGGTGTAAGTGTGTATGGCGTGTGTGGGTAGGTCCGTGTGCACACGTGTGTCCAGGCATGTAAATATGCTGCGTGTAGGTAGGTATGTGTACACGTGTGTAAGGGTGTACGTTTGGTGTGTGTAGGGAGGTCCGTGTGCACGTGTGTGTAGAGGCGTGTAGGTGGGTGGGTAGGCAGCAGGTGTCGTGTGTCTACCTGAAAGACGGGGGTCAGCCCGTCTAGCACTGCTCCCCTGCATCTGGCCTCCCACAAGGAGGCGGCTCCCTGGAGCTCGGCTGTGCAGGTCAGCAGCGGTCCAGGCAGAGGTGGTGCCCCCACTGTGGATGCCGATGTGGGGGGCTGTGCTCCATTGGCACCTCGCCCCACAGCTGCGCGTGCAGGGCTTGGAGCCCAGCCCCCTGGACGTGCGAGGAAGGGGCCGGTGTCTCTACGGGGTGCCACCCCTCTGCTGTGGCAGGCGGTGGCCCCGGCCCCTGGCTGCGCACACTGTAGCTCCCAGTGAGGGCCCCTCTGCCCCGCTCAGGAACACGCGCACGCGATGCAGAGGGCCGCTCTCCTCCTCTGTTGCTCCTGAGTGTCCCCAGCGGGCCTGGTGCCGTGGCCATTCCTGCAGGGAATCGGTGCTCAGTTCCTAGTCCTGCACGTGGTGTCCTTTCACACAGGCCCAGGCTGCTGGGTGTGTGTCTGTCCATCTGGCGGCTGGCCTGTAGTCCATGTCTTTTTGCGGCGTGGCGCTGTGTGGGCTCTGCGGGACCTGTGGAGAGTTCTCTCCGGGGGCCGCACTGCTCCTGGGTGATGCATGTGTCCTCCCGACAGGGACGTGCGGCAGAGGGTCCAGCTCACGATCGCCCAGGCTTTTGGCATCAGTGTGTCTTCGCTCTACCTGACAAAGCCCACGTTCTTCTCCCGCATCAACAGCACCCAAGCCCGGACGGCTCACGATGAGTATTGGCACGCACACGTGGACAAGGTGAGCACCCACCCTCCGGCGCAGGTGCTGGGGCTTGTCCGTGCCTGCCCGAGCCGGCTCGGCCTGGGCTTCGGAGCATCTGCCCTGTGGCGTGTCTGTGGTTGGGATTTTAGATGTCTTCCTCTCCGACATTTGGGGTGGGCCCTAAACCCTGTGGAACCCCGTGGATGTCGTCAAGGAGGTAAAACCCGTCCCCGTGGGACAGTGAAATGTGCACTAGGAAGTGGTGGGCACCGTGGTACCCTGTCCTCCGTGGCTGCGTCCGCTGGAGCCGTGAGCTCCACCACGTGCCACCCAGGCAGCTCTGTCGTCCCCACAGCTGCAGGTGGCCTCCCCTTGGGCACCCTCCACCCGCATCCCGCCTCTTCACGGGAAGATCTCTCGACCACTCAGGATCCTCTGGATCTCCCGTCCTTGATCTCTGTTGCACAGTCCCAGCTAATCAGTGATCTCGACCCGCTGAGTTGGAGCCCATCCCCATCTGTACTGCAGCCACGCCCCCCCGTGTTCTCAGCGTGCTGCCGGGGTCACCTGAGGGCTGCAGGTGTGCTCAGGTGACCGAGGACCGTCCCTCGTGTCCCTTGATGCTAGAACGAAAGAAGCAGGTGAAGAATACCCGGAAAGCTTGGGATGAGTGATGAGGGCAGGTTGGGACGCACGCTTGCAAATGGGGCTTCAGCTCTGAAACCCAGCCAGATGCTCAGCCTTTGTTTAATCTCGACTGGGCTGACGGAGGCGGCACCGCGCGTGGCCATGAGCACAAGGGTGTGGTTAGTGAAACCGAGGACCCCAATATGTAATCAGTTCAAGCCAGCTTAAATGGAAGTGGCGTCTGTGGCCAGGGGCTCCCAGCGGGCCAGCGACGCTCTGGGGGCTCCCCAGACTCAGGCTGGGACTGCGGGATTTCTGGCCTCACGGCGGGAGGCCCAGGGTCTGCTTGCAGTGTGTTTGGATGCCAGTCGGGCCGCTGTGGTCCAGCCCGTCCCCCTGCCCCTCACGGCTGTGGCAGCTGTTGGTCTGTGGGTGACCACCGCCGATGGTCACCGCACCAGGCGGCAGGTGCGACCTTGGCCGTGAGATCATCACAGACGTTGCAGGGGCAGAAGTGGTTCTTACGGTGCTGACGGCAAAGACGATGCGTGTGGAGGACGGACGGGTACGTCCAGCATACGGAGAAGGGAGCCCCCTCCGTGGGCCGGAGCCCAGGAGGATCTCCTGCACGAAGGAGGAACAGCCCTCCACCCACCAGGAAGAGTCCGCTCAGGAGAAACAACCCTGAGCGTGGCCCGGCTGCGTTCTCGCACTTCGAAGAGAATACTCCTCAGGCGGGAGGAGACTGGCCGCCAGTCACATGTCAGCAGCCTCAGGCTCTCCAGAGCGATGCTCAGAGCCAGGAGGCCACGGAAGGGTCTGCAGGAGCCGGGGTCACATGAGCAGCCACAGGCCGCTCCCGTGTGGACATGGCAAAAAGATGTCCTTAGACGCAAGAGAACTCTGGAACGTGGCATCTGCTCCTCATCCGCGAGGCTCTTGTCTCAGCTCAGGAACAGAGACACCCCCGCCACTCCCAACCAGCTCCCTGGTTCTCACGCGAGTTCTGAGGGTTCCTTTGCGGTATCTGGGGGTGGGCGGGTAGGAGAGGGTCAGGTTCCTGGACTCCCCGCCCACTGCACAGGGTCTCTCTCAGGTTTTACGTGGCTCACGTATGATTGATGGACGTGAGGTTCACTGCGGAAGCTGCTCAAGAAGCCCGGCCCCGGGAGATTCGCAGACTTATCCCTCTGGTGTTTGTTGGGAGAAGGGATTCCGGACAAGGGGAACCTGAGTCGGGGTCTTAGTGGGGGATGCGGACACGCCCAGGTGTATAGGAATCCAGCCTCATGTTGCATGGTACCAAGTTTGTGAGATGGTGACATTGCTCTTGGGCACTATGGCAGCTCTGCTGGCCGGCCCCCCTCCCGTCAGGAGGTGACTGTCGTCATGGTGATGGGGGTAGAGATGGTTGCAGGGGGAGAAGGCTTTTCAAGCCTTGATCAAATATGGCACGTGAGACTGGCCTGGGGCTTCTGAGTCGTTCCCAGGATGCCTTCAGGTGTCAATAGAATCACGTATGACTGGCTGTCAGCCCCGCAGCTTAGAGGAGAGAGTCGGGCTGTGCTCCAGGGCTGGGGGGCGACGGTTTGGACTGCAGTTCTTAGACCCCTCCATTTATCTCTTACCCAACACTTGCTAATTGAACGATTCATCAGCCTGGAAAATGTTATTATGTGATTAAAATTCCTTGTTTGTCGATATCACTATCTTTGTGTGAAAAGAATGCGTATCTCGGTTCCCTTTATTAACCAGATCCCGATCTGTGTGAGTGAGCCCTTGGAGAAGTGCAGTCAGCTTCTCCTCAGCAGCCTGAGGTTCTAAACCAAACCCTGCAGATGAGAAAACAGCATTTCCACGTGGTGCCCCTTGTCTGCCCTGGCCGCGAACAGTACCTCGCCTCCCAGACTTCAGGGCATCTGAGGGAACAAATGATAGCCACCCCCTGTTTACATCCCTCCGTCCAGGCCAGGGGTGGGGGTCGGTCATCAGAGGGTCCGTGCTCAGACGAGCCCTCAGCCAGACCCCGTCCTTCACCATCTGCTTTGCACTGCCCGCGCGGTCTGCCCGAAGAGCGTCTATGCAAAGAGGCTCACGCACTAAAGGGCAGACACTGTAGGGTCCGCCAGATAAGGACCCCGGGGTCGTCAGAGACAGAGGCAGAAGGGTGGGGGCCGGGAGTGTTTAATGGGGACAGTGTCAGTTTGGGAAGATGCCAGGCGAAGTTCTGGGGACGGACGGTGGGGATGGCTGCGCGACTACGATGTGCTTCGTGCCCCTGGCTAAAATGGCACATTTATGGCACGTGTATTTTACTACAGTTAAAAGCAAAGGTTGGGGCTGCCCCACATGTGAAGAAAGAGCAAAAGCACTTGTCGTTGCCGCGTTTGTTCCGTGTGTGGACGTGGGAGGTGGGAGCTGCCAGTTAGCGGGTGACACGGCCACCGTCCCGGGAATCGCTGTGGCTCGGGCTTGTCGGCCGAGCGTCCACACGCGCTGCATCTGAGCTGTGCAGGAGCCCCAGGCAAAAGCGCAGGACCGCGGGCCTGACCGCGGTGTGTCTGTGGTCGGGAAGGCAGCCGGCGGTCTCATTTAGGAGGCGGACATGTGTTGTTGACCGACCTCGGAAGCGCGAGCGCGGCCTTCTGGGCTGGTGTGCCCACGAGCGCCCGGACGCTGACGTGCTCCCTCACGCTCTGCCCGCAGGTGACCTACGGCTCCTTCGATTACACCTCACTGCTCTACCTCTCCGACTACCTGGACGACTTCGGCGGGGGCCGATTCGTGTTCATGGAGGAGGGGGCCAACAAGACGGTGGAGCCGAGAGCAGGTAGGACCCTCAGGCGGCAGCCCCAGGCTTGCAGGCAGCTGGGCAAGCCATCCATCTGCTGGCCTGGACACGCCCGCTGCCCCAGGTCACTGCTGCACATCCCCCGAGCCCCCCACTTCCTGCAGTGCATTCCCGCTCTGTGCCTCCCCAGACCAGGTGGTCCTGGAGCCCCCAGGGCCCCCAGCACGGCACGAACACTCAGAGCGGCCCGTGAGCATGTGCTGAGCGGAGGGACCGTCCCCTCCCTTCTGGCGCTTGTGGGGAAGGCTGGGTTCGCAGCCCCAGCCAGGACTCCCAGAGACTCACAGGCAGAGCCCGGACACCTGGCCCAGACTCCTGGGCCGCGCCGTCCCCCTGCGGCCACGGCTCACCTGTTCTGCCGCACTGCGCTCACTTGCTCACTGGGCGCCCGCCTGGTGGGAGCCCAGTCAGACCAGAGAGGCTGCCCTCCTGGGTTGGCTAAGAATGTTCCTACCGGCCGTGGGACCAAGCCAGTGGGTCCAAACAGCTCCCTGTCGAAGCTCTGAGTGGGACACGCAGTAGCGTGGAAATCAAAGCTGTAAAAAGGGAATTAAGCAGCTCAGGGTTTGCTCTCCTCCCTCTGTGGTGAGCACGGGAAGAGGTGCAGACCCGGCTCAGTCAGTGGGCAGGAGGGGCCTCCAGACACCCTGCAGCTCCGGCAGTTTAGCAGATTAAGAACCAGAGAAGCTTCTGGTGCTAAGGCCGGGTGTCACCTGTCACTGCTTTCAAGAGACACCCTTGTGGCCCAAGAGGAAAAGGACGTGAAGGACCTCAAAAACTGAGATTATTTCACATTTTTGGTTACTCAGTTGCTGAGCTAAATCTTATTTTAAGTGATTTACTGAAGAATGTAAAAAGCCAGAAAGTACCTTTTTCTGAATTCTGAAAAGTTTCATGTTTATAGAATTATGTGGGCAGTATTATTCAGACAACTTGATGTTCCCCTAGGGGATGTGGCCCTGGGAGACTCGGCCTGGGGGATGTGGCCTTGGGGGACGTGGCCCTGGGAGACTCAGCCTGGGGGACGTGGCCTTGGGGGACGTGGCCCTGGGGGACGTGGCCCTGGGAGACTCAGCCATAGGAGACTTGGCCTGGGGGACTCAGCCTGGGGGACGTGGCCCTGGGAGACTCGGCCTGGGGGACTTGGCCTGGGGGACGTGGCCTTGGGGGACGTGGCCCTGGGAGACCCGCCCTCCAGTGTCAGTGTTACCGTGTTTGCTCTTTGCCTCGTGTGGTGTTGGCGGTGCTGGCCTGCTGGTCACCACACAGATGGTGACTTCATCCTCTGCTGGTAATTTCCTCGTGGTTCTGGTGACAGGTAGCCTGCCACTGGGTTCTTGCAGAGCACATCTGTAGTGCCTGTGTTTATCGGAACCACTGCGCACTTCCCAGCTCCGTTGCTGGGCTGCACGCAGAAAGCACAGAGGGGCTCCGGCAGGACCGCACGGCCCGAGTCGCACTTTTCTCCACAGGTCATCACACCGGCATTTGGGGGGCCTGAGAATCTCTCTCCAGGTGGGCAAGATGGGGGTCTGCCAGGTTATTTTATAACACTCCCTCTGTCCCGTCCCCGCCTGGGGCTCAGCGAGGCTGGTCCGTGCCCACAGATGTCACGGGAACTGGCGTTTGCCGGGCGAGAGATGCAGCGCGTCTCGCCCGCCAGCGAGGCCACATGAAAGTTGGCATCCATTCCTTACACAGCGTCCTCGGCCTCATGGGAATCCACAGGAAAATAGCCACAGCGCCTCACGCTTTCCCCCTTACTCATGCTTCCCAGGACCCTCTCCGTAGATCCGGGTTTCCAGTGGGGACCGCTTTCCTTCGGCCTTCACGCATCACACCCCTGGCAGCAGCTCTTCTGAGAACGTCCCCATCTCACCTTTTCTCCTGGCTATCTTCACTGACTGAAATTCAGGACTGATAGCATTTTCCTTTCTCTTTATAAACATCATTCCTTTATTCGGGTTCCATTCTTGCTGAGAGAGTCGCCATCACTGGGTCACTGTCTTTTTTCTCTGCTGTTTCCAAGATTTTCCCGAAATCTTTCATTTCATCCGTTCCATGGTGTTGGGCCTCGGCATGGACTTATTTATATTTATCCCACTTGGAGTTTGCTATGCTTATTGGACTAAAAGCCAAAAGTTTTCATCACGTTGGGGAAAGTTGGGCGATCATTTCCTCAAGTCCTCCTTTTCTGCCCCAATATTAATTTCTTCTTCTGAGGCTCCAGCAGCATGAACGGTGGGAGGCTTTGTACTGTCCCAAGGTCTCTGTTTGCAAACTGTGCCAACGCGCAGGGAGGGATGTGGAGATCCCCCACTCTTACTGCCTGTCAACAGACACTTGATTGCCGTGTCCTTCTGCACAGGGGGCAGAGGGCATGGACGGGTGTGCACACAGGCCTGACTGCTTGTCCGGTGTCTCAGGTTTGAATCAAAGTGCAAGAGACTGAGGACAAGATGTCTTTTAAAAATGTGGGTCTCAGAGAGTGTTGTGCGTGCGGCTTGCTCTGGGAAAGAGTGTTTCCTTCGCGGGGACGGCACCGTGTGTGAGCTCCAGGAGCCACCGGGCTCACACTCGGCTTCCGCTGTGTCCACGATTTCTTTTGCTCTGTTGTTCCCAAGCAGAGCACAGTTCTTTGCTTACAACGAGAAAGCAGCAAGTGTCTGAGATGGACTTTCCTTTCCTTTGCAAAGATTATGGTCGAGTTGCAAGTATGAAGGAAGCAGTCGCGTTTCCAGCAGTAGCTTCGAAGGGAAATGCAGTTGCCACAGTGCCTGCCGAATCCCTGGTTCCTCCCCTGCAGCTTTGCAATGGTCAGCCCCCTTGTAGAAAGATCTACGGTGCTGTGTGCAAGGCCAGTTAAAGACGGAAGCCAATGAGTGGAATTGTCTGTTGACGGTTGGAGGACCCCCTCCTCTTGACTCAGAAGCTGCCTCTCCCCACGTCTTCACCTTTTGTCCCCACTTGATGGGAGCTAACGAGGCGAGGCGCTTGGCGTTGTCTTGACGCGTCTTCCCCGATTCCTGGTTAAAGCTTTGCCATCACTCTGCAGGGTTTGGTTTTGTCTGACGTGGGATTAGAAGTAAGGTCCTAAGCGTCAGACCTGAAAGGCTGTGAGGGGTGGGCCTGGGGCGGTCCCGTGGCTTGTCGGGGCGCCCTGGGCGGTGGCAGGACCTCGCCCCAAGTCTGGCCCCGCCCACCGCGAAGAGGGTCGGGACAGGGGTTGGGGGGCCCCTCACTTCCGGCGGCCTCGCCTGCTTTGCGTCCTGCCCAGCCATTCCGTGGCAGGCGGGCCTGTCCCGTTCTCCTTGTTTGCTGCGTCAGGGCCGGCCGTCTGTGTGGCCTCCTGGTCACTGCTCTCTTCTGTCCCAGGTCGGGTGTCCTTCTTCACCTCGGGGTCCGAGAACCTGCACCGCGTAGAGAAGGTCCACTGGGGCACCCGTTACGCCGTCACCATCGCCTTCACCTGCAACCCGGACCACGGCATCGCAGACCCCGTGTTCACGTAGCCCCGGCCTCGGCACCCTCCCCGGGAGCAGCCACGCCGGACAGATGCCCCCTGCCGCCAGTTCGGCCCATTTCCATTGAACAAGGTGCCTTATGAATCACCCGGAGGTTGATTTGCTGCTGTACTAATCGTTTCTCGTCTGTAAGTAAATTAGGGGAAGCGGCTCTTCACCCCCAAGCACCCGTGTGTTTGATTCAGCGTGCTGTCAACGTCGGGCCCAGGAATCGGCAGCGAGCCGACATGCCCGCCTGCCTCCAGGAGGGATCCCCGGGCCCTGGGTGGAAATTCCCGTTTGTGAATAGATAGGCATTCGCCCGGGCCTCATCCAAGTTCAGAAAGCACCGCGGACCGTTGAAGACCGACTTTGGGATGTGGACGATGGCATGGTCTGTAGAACAGGCCCAGGGCGCGGGCAGCTCTGGGAGACAGGTGCGGGCCGAGGACCTAGGACACCGGTGACGTGAGTCCCACCGGACACAGCATCCTCCTGCGACCAAGCCGGGCACACCGCACGCGGGCGCCCTGCACGTGCCCTGGCAGTGCCGTGTGGGAAGGCAGGGCGCGGGTGCCCGGGGGGCAGACCGTGTGTGTAATCTGGGGAGGCAGCAGCAAGGGACCAGGCAGTAGGACGACGGGAAGCAATAGCAGATTGAAGCCAAGCAGGGCAGCACCAGTGGGCTGAGGTCCGTTAATCTCTGGCCCCCAGGCTCCGGGAGGCCGAGGGGGAAGCGGGAGCATCGTCCGTGGCACATCCAGTCCCTTTTGGGCTGACTGACACTGTAAATACCAGTTTTTCACTTGATCTTGAGTTCCAGGAGAAGCAAGCATAGACCGCCAGCTCTGAATTCACTTTGTAGGGCCCCCGCTCCCCCCAGGAAGGGCTTTGCGGGCTCTAGTTTACCATCCCAGCCTCCTGCCTCCCCTCTGTTCCCGCCTGAACCTCCCCCACCCATTGCCTGCCGAGCCCCACAGAGTGGCAGGGGAGGGTCCGCACCCAGTGGCCAGGACCGATGCCTGAGCCCCATCCCCCCACAGATCTGCAGGCCCCGCCGTGACGTTCCTCAGCACCTTTGAGACCAGATCAATCCCAGGGAAGCAGGGGTGCGGGCAGTCCCTCCTCCCAAGAAGGCCGCACTGTGGGCGTCCCGGCTGCTGTCCCCAGCCCTGTGGACACACGAGGTGGGGCTCACAGTCACACAACTGGCTGGTGCCCAGCTTGAGCTCTCTGGGTCTCCCTCGGTAAAGAAGACAGATCTAGGGGGGCGGGGGTCAGCCCGAAAGGACCCCATTCCTGGAGAATTCCCATGAGCAGTAAGGAGGAGGGAGGAAGCGACAGGAGGATGGGCACCATCTGGGGTCTCCACACGCCCAGGGTGGGTTACTGGACCAAGGCTTTGTCCCCAGGAAAAGGTGGGCCACTCCCCTCTCCAGGTCCCCGGTCCCCAGAACAGACCCTCCCCAATCACCCCACACATCTGAGACCCGCCTTACTGGTGGGGGCTGCCGGAGGCTGGTGGGGTTTGTGGGGTGGGGGGCACATGGCATTGAGGTGCTGGCCATGCAGTTGGCCCTCTCCTTCTGCCTGTCTGTGTGAGGCCAATGCAGAGCGGGCCTGGGGTTGGCAGTCCGCACCCCCCCCCAGAGCCCCAGCTGAGGCTTCGTGTCTCGCCTCAGACACACTGTGTTCAGGGGCTTGCCTGGATCAGGACCCCCTGAGACCCCAGCTGGTGCCCCAGCCTCACCGTCAGCTCAGGCACCCCTCCCTCCCTGCCCAACACAGGTGGGCCCCTGCTCACACCATTCATCAGAGCCCCCCCCCCCCCAGGGCCACCTCCGCGGTCTGGACAGCTCCTGGCTGCCAGTGGCCTGCTGCCCAGGCTGGCACGCAGTGGGGTGCAAACTGTCTGCCTTCACTCTGCCTGGTGGCCGTGGGCATGGCGGGGGGAGGGGCCAGAATAGGAAGGAGGCAGGGGTGGGGCTGGTAGGCAGGGGCAGAAGTGGAGGGACCCTCCGCACAGGCCCCCATGGGGACCAGGGAATACACACATGGACGCAGGGCAGGGAGGGGGCTGGACCGCTGGACAAGAGCTCCCCAGGCCATGGACCGCTCTGACCCCACTCGGCATCCAGACCCCGGTTTCCACCGCCAGGGGGAGAAAGGGGCAGGTCAGAGCTGTCCAGCCTGTGGGCCTGCCCTGGGCAGCTCAGGGGATCTCTCCTGGGGGAGAACTGGCCCCTCGCCCCCCACGTGGGGGTGGGCCCTTGGCTGGCCTGGAGAAAGCAAGTCTGGAGCTCCTGGCTGTTGGTGTTGGCAGCCCCGCTTCCTGCTCGAGCGTCAACCGTCTGGAATGCTAATGGAAAAATCAGCCCTGGCACTGGGGCTCCTGGTTTGGCGGTTTGGGGGTGTTTGGGGAACCAGGCTGGACTCTGGCCACCCCTGCATCCCTTACATGGGGATGGGGGCTCCCACCTTCCGCTGGCCGAGCTCTCCTCCTTTCTCATACTGGTGAGTGGTTGAGGGAAGGTGGCCCGGCAGCTGGGGATGAGCTCTGGGTGCTTTCTCCAGGGGACAAAGGGACCCCAGCATCCTGTCCCCCCAAGGCTGGCCCTTTAGGTGACCCAGATCCGGAGCACCTGTCAGCCGGATGCACAGGTGTAGACTCAGGTGAGTTCAGGCCTCTCAAAACCGCTCAGGATGCCCTCCCAGAAAGGGCCCCATGCATCACCCCACAAGCACTGTGTGGCCACCCACACAAGCACCAACCCCCGCCGCCCCCCCCCCCCCCCAGCGCAGAGGTCCATCTGGGGAGCACAGTCTTCACAAGCAGAGAGCTCCCCGGGCAGGGAAACCATAGTGGCTACTGGTTTGGGTACAACTCACTTCCCAAAGAATGAGTTCCTGGAAAAATGAGTCTGGGGAACTTTGAAGTGTGGGTTTCTTGTTGATAAAGAACGTCCGAAGTGCAGCTCCCCTGGGCGTGTGGCCTGGTGACACGGACTCCGCGGGTCTGCGCACCGGCCACGCTTCCTGCAGAGGGCGGGACAGCCGCAGGCCACCCTCCGGGGGGCTGGGGGTGCCCTGTGGCCCCACCGCAGCGGAGGTCAGCAGCCCGTCCCTTCCAAGCCTGAGCCGCCTGGAGCCCGAGGGGCAGGAATGTGCCTGTCCCTGGTAAACCCATCATCCCCACCCGCTCGGCTCTGGAGCCTCCTGGGTTGCCAAGCCGCTGCTTGGCTGTGAAACCTCCCAGCTTCTGGCTTCTTCCCCGCCTCCCAGCAGCCCCCTCCTCCACCCCTGGAACTCAGAAGACAAACGAAATAAGGAAGGGCAGCAGGTCAAGAGCACAGTTCATTCTCTCACTCATTCCCCACGGGGTGCCCTCCACGGGGGCGGGGCCCACAGCCTGCCTGGGACACTGGCTGGGCTTGGGGCTGGGGGATGGGGTGCAAGGGAATGAGACAGGGCAGGGGAAATGCCCTGAGGCCTGGCATTTGGCCCCCCTCCGGATGCGGCCGGGCACCCCATCCCAGCCAGTCCTTGTGTCACTGGCTCTGCTGCCCAAGGTCTTCCAGAGGGGCACGTGCCCCCACCTGCCCTGCAAAGGCCTCTCCTGCCCCAGCAGCCCCAAGCCAGCCCCGCAGACCAAAGTCCGAATTCATGATACATCCAATCAAGAGCAGTTAGTGCTTCACAGAGTAGCCTTCTATGAAAAGAAATCCGTTCCCCAAATGCACCCAAAATACAATTAGTTCTGGGTGGACGCAGACACGGGACCACTCACTCGTACCTGCTGGTGGGGCAGTTTCTACTCAAGACGGACGCATCACCCAGCAGCTCCACGCCTGGACTGACTCAGAGATGGAGGCAGAGACTCCCTCCCCAGTGCTCCTAGCCGCTTCGTCTGTAATGGCCCGAGACTGGACCCACAAGGCCACCTGTAGGTAACAGGTGGCAGTCCATCCATCTGCAAGGCTCCTCGGTGACGGAAAGTACCGCTGAGCCACACATGGTAACCTGGAGACCAGCCACAGAAGACGGACAGCTGACGGGTCCCCTTTGTAAGACATCCTAGCGGCAAAATCTGTCAAAGCAAGCGGCGAGGACACCGCTTCGGGGGCACTGCGGGGAGGGTCTGCGCAGCTCCGGGGAGGTGGGGCCCCGTCGGGACATGGGGTGGGGCATCGCCGGGTCCCTGTCCTCCTGTCATGGGAGGATACCGGTGGGACTTTCAAGCATCTCTGTCCAGCACACACTCACGCACTCGTTTGTTTTAAGTAAAACTTGGGATTACATTATACAACTTTACCTTCTATTTCCCCTCTACCATTGTGCCTTAGATCGACGTCATTGCTAATCTCAGAGAACACAACCTTCCTCTCTCAACACCGTGCCATAATTTATTTAAAACTGGGGAACATTCCATGATGTCTTTGATTCTTAGAGTAATGCCGGAATGAGTATCTTTATATGTAAACCTTTATCTACATCTGACTCTTTGATTTAGGATGAAATCCTGGAAGTGGGGTTCCCAGAGCATGAGTTTACAGACGTTTACCTGCCTCGTGGTGGGTCATGCTAACTTTGTTCTCAGGGATATCATTTCTGCTTTGGCCTTAAATATATTTTTCTGCATTGGAATTTTAAATGATGTATCTAATTGAATCTGTCTTTTCCTTGTGGATTCTTGGTTCTAGGTCAGCTTACAAAAGCCTTCCCGTTCCTTATGCTAGAAATATATTCACTTGCGAGGGGCACCTGGGAGACTCAGTTGGTTAGCATCTGACTTTCTTTTTTTTTAAGATTTTATTTATTTATTTGTCAGAGAGAGAGCACAAGCAGGGGGAGTGGGAGAGGGAGAAACAGGCTCCCCACTGAGCAAGGAGCCAAATGAGGGATTTGATCCCAGGACCCTGAGATCATGACCTGAGCTGAAGGCAGACGCTCAACAAGCTGGGCCGCCCAGGCGTCCCAGCATCTGACTCTTGATCTCAGCTCAGGTCTTGAACTCACGGTCGTGATTTCCAGCCCTATGTTGGGCTCCATGCTGGGCATGGAGCTTACTTTAAAAAAAAAGAAGTATATTCACTGTGTTTTCTCTTCATTGTTTTAGTGATGTTATGACTCCCATCTGCACATAAAATCCACCTGGATTTTACTTTGCTCAGGGACGCAGCCCACGTTC